GGCACGTGTACAGATGATCGAAAGCAGCTTGCTATTCCGGCTAAATTAAAGAACAATATGACATCACTGAAACTAAGTTTGTAAGTCTAATAAAAAATAATAGTGAGCAACACATACATACAGTACATGTAGTATGTGTGTTGCTCACTATTATTTTTTACTAGACTTACAAACTTAGTTTCAGTGATGCCATATTGTTTCTTCATTTGGCCGGAATAGCAAGCTGCTTTCGATCTGTACACGTAAGCCATTTAATTTGTATATTACACAAATGTTTCCGCGAACTGACAGTTTTTAGGTTAGAAAGGTGCAAAAGTGCAGAATCACTCCAGCATCCCCTTAAAGACACGTGTATACATATACATGCACTCGGTATTTAAATACAGTGTCATAATTGTAATTTTGTATGCTAAGCAAATTCTTATAACCATTACAAGTGTACAAGTACTTTCTTCATTGCAATTATTATACATATATTTACATTAATATGTAATAGAGAATGATTGCATCATTAAATGTATCAATATACCATTAGTTATTATTATTGATTCGTATAATAAAAGTCCATAAAATCTAGAATACAAATTTTTATTGAGGATGCATGATATCAATACTTTGAGGGGCTGTAACATCAAGTAAATTTATAGTATTAGACGGCTGATAATTTGTGGAATGTGACGGGACAGATAATCCATAATTATCTGCTTGCCTCTCCAAATTGAGAAATTTGCATCTCACAATATACCAGAAGCTTTGTACAAGGTTCTTGACCAATCCTGTGAATTCAGATAATTCAATAAATCATTGCATTACTGTTTGCTGAAGAAGCGATTGTTTGCAAGCGCCGCTTACCGCTTGTGACAAAAATACCACCTACAGTGGCACACAGCTTCACTAAAAACTGAAAAATTGTATCACGCTCCTGGGTCACTTTGATCTTAAGTGCACTCATGTCGTACTTGAAGAAAATCCCGGGTATTCCATGAGATCCTTTATGATGATCAATTGGTCTCTGATGATCCTTGACACTGTATTGGTACGTCTTGGACGTACTCAGCAGTGTTCTGATGTCTGTAGGGACAACCTCGACGAAATACTGATAAAGCATCATATCTGAAAGCACCGTTCGTTAAACATGCGAAACATTGTACCAATTTATTTCCAGTTTTCTTTTTGCAGTAGTAAACAAACTTACTGTTATCCGCAATCTTCTCGTCGCCTTCAAGGGGATGCACAATGCCCGGGCTAGGTCCACCGAAAGAGAATCTATTGATTCTATGAGTAAAGTTGTAGTCCCGGTCAGTCATAAATGCAGAAATGTGTATATGCCCGTGCGGCACAGACAACGATTTACCCGCGGTTATGTGAAAGTTACCCGCCACTTTGTTAACGTTCAGACTACCGTGAACACGGCAGGCATTTGGTGCATAATCCGGCACGTACGATCTAACAGGTACAACAGTTGTATGCATTCGCAAGTGACTAATGTACTTTCAACAAGTGCTGTAAATTACAAATGGTAGTCTGCACGTACCGCTCCGGCATCTCGCTGTAAAGAGTAACCTGATTGGATTTCCAAAGTAGCTCATGAATGGCATGGTACTCCTCCCTTAAATACGAATTCATGTGCTTCAGAGCTTCAAAATGTGCCCTTTGTTCCGGCGTAAGCTCCCACCACGTGTCCTCTTCCTTCAAGGAATCGAAGTCTATCATATGCTGATTCGTAGAGTCTAGAACATCGGCGCCGATACGGCCGCATGGCATCGCCACCGTTACGTCAATATTGATTTGTAGCTTCGCGTCGATTTCCGTGTCCGGCTCAAATTTGAATTGCAATCTACTGTCAAGATAATAGCTCGTTTCAGCTATCACCAGGTACGCGATAATAAGAATTGTAAAAACAGAAACTGAAACAGAAGCGGACTGTTAGTCGGCTGGGGTGAGCGGGCAGGAGCGCAGCTGTTGTCCAACGTGAGGATACACGCCGTGTGTTACACGGTACATTTAATACCGTACTGTCTGTGCCACACTCACATGTTCCACCAACCGCGGTTTTGTCGACGTACAACTCGGGAACCTTCGGGAACGCGTCCAGCTCCTTGACGGTTTTAACGTTGACGTGTCGTCGCCGCAACATTTTCACAGCTCTACACGCGCATATTCATGAATGGTCTACGGCAGTTATTTACGACTAACCTGCAACAAGTATTCGCTGTGTTTAGAAAATAAGTCCCGGAGTTACGCGCGGCTCCGGTGTTTACCTTCAGCACGGGTTTTCGCGACCATATTCAGCACGCGTGGATTTCAGCTGCATAAAAGAACGCGTACAGCGCGGTAACTAGTGTTTTATACATTTTTTGACACGTGGGATTGTGTATGCACTTACATCCTGCCATGCCTCGTCCACACTCGTCCATACAGGAAATATGAAACACGGGAGTAGCCAATGTGTGCGCGAAAAGCCGCTGTATAAAAATTATAGCGGCGATCATCTCGCATACGGAAAGATGGCGCCACAATACACCCGACATACGCTTGAACATCGCGATGCAACTTCTCAGCTAACGTACATTTCGAAACGTAATGAATTGAATATATTTTACGCGAGGTATCGGATAGCCGTGTGACCCGCGCGCTCGGAACTTCCTCAGTCGAAATATTTCAATATTCAAATAACTTTCCCTTTCAAAGCTGCGCAAACCCACACGGTCGATGCGCCAAAACCGGCCCTCGAAGTCCTATTGGGCTCGCTTATGCCCGTTTCTACCAATGTAGATTAACTTTAATCTCGGCTTAAATTATTGCTTGTCTTTTTCCAATTCGCAAAACTAGAAAAAGATACAATGTAAGTTGAATCGAGATTAAAGTTAAACTGCGTTGGTAGAAACGGGTATTAGGGCACGAAAGTATTTGGAGGTGAATACTTTAGGTTCATACGATTTTCGAAAATAAAACTTGTCTAATGGACAAAAATTCGAATACAATCCTCGTGGCGAAGAACTTGCACAATTTGTCTATTTTATAAACTCGTTTCTACATTATTAATTTACCCGAGTTTACATCGACGAATTTATAGTTACATACATAAATCAAATATCCTAATGTACAAAAATGCAACTGCAAATAAGAGACCGTCCGTACAAAACACGGGTTATTCTAATAGACCGTTACGGGAGATAAATCTCGATACTCTTTCCCCAAAGAATCCTGTAACTTCAAAGTACACACGTGCGTAGATTGCAGTAGAAATATTTGAACCGTGAGAGTGCCGATCGCAAGAGGAAATTTGTGGCCCTGATAAGGGCCGTTTATCTGAAGAAGAGCGCTTCACTTGGAGCTGGTGTACTTGGTGACAGCCTTCGTGCCTTCGCTCACGGCGTGCTTGGCCAGCTCGCCGGGCAGCAGAAGTCGGACGGCGGTCTGGATCTCCCGGGACGTGATCGTCGAGCGTTTGTTGTAGTGAGCCAAACGCGACGCCTCGGCGGCGATGCGCTCGAAGACGTCGTTGACAAAGCTATTCATTATGCTCATAGCTTTGCTGGAGATACCGGTGTCCGGGTGCACTTGCTTCAGTACTTTATAGATGTAGATAGCGTAGCTCTCCTTCCTCTTGCGCTTCTTCTTCTTGTCGGTCTTGCTGATGTTCTTCTGGGCCTTGCCGGCCTTCTTCACAGCTTTGCCGCTTGCCTTCGGTGGCATGATTCTCGAGGTCTTCGTACAGCGCCGTGTAAGCGATCGCCAAGACGGAACTTCGAAAAGTGAGGCACCCGACGAGACGCAGCCTTTATATACAATACGGCGACTGCAGCGCCGCACCAATCGCGTGAGGGGACGCGGTCAATCGTTACGCGCTCGGCTCCCCATTGGTCGCGCGCCGCCACCGCGCTACGGTATAAGTAGGCCGGCGCAGCGAGGCTGGCGACACAACGATTCGAGACGTCGTACGCTGCACTTCGCTCTGTAAAGTCTCAGCACTCGCTAATTCGCAACCATGTCTGGACGCGGCAAAGGTGGCAAGGCCAAGGGAAAGGCGAAGTCGCGCTCCAATCGCGCTGGACTGCAGTTCCCCGTCGGCCGTATCCATCGGCTTCTGCGAAAGGGAAACTACGCCGAGCGCGTCGGCGCCGGTGCCCCGGTATACCTGGCCGCGGTGATGGAGTACCTCGCCGCTGAAGTGTTGGAGTTGGCAGGCAACGCCGCCCGCGACAACAAGAAGACCAGAATCATTCCCAGGCACTTGCAGCTGGCCATTCGTAATGACGAGGAGTTGAACAAGCTGCTCTCGGGCGTCACCATCGCTCAGGGTGGCGTACTGCCGAACATCCAGGCGGTCTTGCTGCCAAAGAAAACCGAGAAGAAGGCTTAACTTACGCAGCACCACACTCACAAACGGCCCTTTTTAGGGCCACCAATTTTCTCATACGAGGAATGTTCCGTTTGCAATGCCGTTTCTACACGCTATCTTCAAACATAATTTATTTAGACTATTATATAACAAGTATTCATATCTTGGTAATACTAGATGAATTAAATTATCTGAACGTGTGCGTAACGTGTACTATTTGTTCAAATCTCAATAGCACACAGTATCAAATACCAAAGGAGGTTATTTAAAACATTTTAGATTAATGTACTTTGTTCTTTTGCGTTTGTTTTATTCTCTATGAGAAAGCGCATCGTTGTGAAAAGAATATAATTGTAAATTTTGTTGTAAGTTAGGGAAAGAGCTGGTACATTTATGCTTAGGGAAATTCAGAGAAGTAAAACCGAACATCCATATAAATATATTTTTGTTACTCTAACTTTTGAGAATGTTAAACTTTTCGAATTAGCTGAAACAAATTTGAAATATTTTGTAATAGTGAGGGGAAAGATGTGCAGAATATTTCTATAAAGCGATTGTTAAAAGTAGAACATCACAAGGGTTAAATAATCAATAAAAATCTTACTAAATAAGACTAGTTATTTAATTAGTGCTTTATTAGATCGAAACGTTTTGAAAGACTCCTATGGTATTTTATTTCGAAAATTTTACCTGCATTGCAAATGGTCATTTTATGTTAACTTGTATTTATTTACATATGAACCTTAAGATTCGGGATAGAAAGGGTTAAGACTGTTATAAACGTTAATTATTATGAATATGATCAATTCGGTTATAATGCCATTATTTATTTTAAAGTTTGATACAATTTCATACACATTGACTTGACAGCCATCGTGCAGATTGAAGCGAGATGAAAGGTCAAGCGTCAACTTTTATACGGGCAGAGATCGCTTGGAATAATGGGAAAAGTCAACAGCGTACGGCGGTTGACCACCTTCGGCGACCCAAGTCGCTCCGTTCTTGCCCTTCTGGATGAGCTGTAGCATCGCAAGTGCAACATGGTCGGTAGTCTGCGTCGGATATTTCGCCAAACCGTCGAAGTCTACCGCAGCTTGGACCGAATCATTCATCTTATCTTGGATGTTTGCAACCAACGCTGTACGCGTGACGCCCGGACACATGATAACAACTCGCACTCCGGTTTTGTCGTGCATACACGCCAGAGCTTGGCTGAATCCCAGAACGGCGTATTTCGATGCCGAGTACATCGGCAGAATTGAATCCGCCTCCAATCCAAGTATGGATGAGATGTTGACGATTACTCCGCCCTTGCCGTCCTTATGCTCCCCCATGTAATCGAGCGCCAGCATAGAGCCGGAAATTAATGCCTTGACATTAAGCTCAAGCGTCTGCTCCCAGTATTTGTCGTTCAACATACCGGCGTTGTTGATGAGAATATCAAGGCCGTGGAATGCGTCGACGATCTTCTCGAATGTCTTCTTCAGCTCGTCGGCCTTCGTTACGTCGCAGGCGAAGAAGACGGCGCGGCCCTTGCCGAATTCCTTCTCCAAAGTGTCCGCCGCAGTCCGGCCGCTCGACGTCGGCAAGTCGACCACAGCGATGCTCTTCGCACCATTGCGAAGCAGTATTTCGGCGTACTTGTAGCCTAATCCAACAGCCGCTCCAGTGATCATCACAGTTTTATTCTGTACGTTATACATTATGCCATGAACTTTTAGTCTTCAACGAAATGCGATGTACGTCGGCGAAATGCGGAAAGGAAAGTGCTGCTGTTGCGAACATACATCGCGTCTCTATATAGTGTTTTGTGTTAGCGCAATGATAACTTATCGCGCTGGGGAATGATACGTTGAAATAAAACGTTCCTACGACTAACGGCTCTCTTATTCGCAAATTTTATTTGATTATTTCCATGAGTTCCAAGCGCGTGAGTGTGCGAACGAGCTACGAATAATATTTGTATGTACATATTTCAATATATTTTAATATATTTAAAAAATTGTAATACCTATATGTAAATAGAAAAATATAACGTAGAAAAGTTGAAAGACGACACTGCTGGCAAATTCCAATTAAAATAAAGAAATTTATATGTATTGCAACAAATGTTACTACATGCGTCAATGGTTGAAATGGTGAGACGCTTTAGAGTGTAGGAAGATCCAGGTTCAAACCTTGACTGAAGTAGTTTTTTTACATAGAATTTGCCGGTCGAGTTATCTTTTAATTTTCCTACTTTGGTTAATTTCTCACTGGCGACAACAAATCTTTATTCTTGTTATAAAAGTGTTAAGTAAAAGTAACAATGTCAACTCAAATAGCACAACGTCGTTATCAACTTACAAACAGGCTTTTAAGTTCTTCCGAATCGGCGTGAATCTGTTCAAAATTAAAAGAATTCCTCTCCTGACGAATTCTTGTGTAGGATAAAAAAAGAGTTCGAGCGTTTAAATGGTATTTGTAAATTAATATATCAAGCTAATAGAGCCAAGACTAGGTTATAATTACAAAATGAACGTACGTTTTGGCACAATATTTCGGAGATTAGTCCATCTTTAGTGTGCAATAAATGATATAAGCTTACATGAAATTTTTAGATCTTTTCTGCATTCGCAAAACAATTGATAAAATCAATTGAATAAAAAACAAACGGTTTCAAGACCACAGTCGTTTGCTTCTATCAATAAAGTAATGCTTGCTATTCTAAAACTTGTTAAACAATATGGTCGGGAGTAACATCTGGGAGGTATTTCGAACGAAGGACGACTATCGAGGATTCAACAGTAAAAATCTGATTTTTACCGTGGAATCCTCGATAGTCGTCCTTCGTTCGAGATGATAAGTCTCGACCATATGTTGGCCATATTGGCTCTATTTAACTTGTATAATTTTTAATTATTATTATTTTTAAACGTATTTGTTGACTATAAAATAGAATGTTTCTAAACGCAAAGAATACAATGTATATATAAAAGAATTATTTTTAGAATATTCGTCGAGAAAGTTTTTGAAATATTCGTTCAGAATAATTGTTAAATATTCATCAAATTTATGTATCGCACATTGCTGTATAATACATTAAATTGTCTTTCGCGAAAGGTAGTGACGCATATAATCATACTATATATAGCCGACACGCTATATTTGGTAGATTATTCTATTCGCATTAAAAAAAATATTTACAGTAGTACCAATCGAATGTTCCACTAACACGAATGACCTATGGAATATTCCAAATTTTTTTGAAGATAGAAGTGTCTTGTGCTGTCTGGGAAACGCCTGTTTTCGCTAGGCGTACGAAAGATAACTCTCTGCATGTATTGACGATACATGTGTAAACGGTCTACACAGAGCTACGTACACACACTGTAAAAAGCATATAAATTTACATACCATAAGTAATAATTGTAATTACACTATTAATAACGAAAACCCGTGAATTTATGTATTGCAAAAAGTAATTTTTTACTCTTGTGTTGCGTAAATAATTGTTTCACGAAAAATTTAAGGCAAGCGGATTACTTATGGTACTAGGTAACAACTCTACGAGATATAAATTTACTGACGTACGTAAGTATTGTGTGTACATCTTTAATAGATGGTTACCAATATTTCCGACTGATAATTGTTAGCTTACGCAAAATTCTTCTACAACGTACGCTATGTTCGCTATGTATATTCGATATATTCACTTAACTATGTCTCTTGAGGTGTTTAATTTGTAGCTACATTTCTAGCACATCGTCATGGGTGAGCACGTACATACGTTGAACAAATGGCTAATATTATCTTTCTCTCACTGGAATGCCTTCCTTGTGGTCCGGTTCCTTCTTTTCCGTGTTATCTTTAATAAGAGACAAAAGGTGACTAATCGGATCGCATTCACTCGAAAATATTCTTTCTATCATCGTAACTTTATTATCATTTTCCAAGACTTAAAAGATTAACAGCGATCTTAACTGATATTCGGAATAGTCGATCAGGAGGACAGAGGAGAAAAGAGATGGGAAGAAATTTGAATGGCCTAGAATATCGTCAAACCAAACTGTTCATCGATTTGTTAATCGTTGATAGCGAACAAATTGTCAGGTTGCAAGAAAACATCATGCAGATTACGACGTTTGCGATTTTTTCTCCGAGACATCGTTCGTAATATGCATGCGCTAGCCGAAAGATTGCGATAGACATGGATGTCATATCAAAACAAGAAAAAATTTCGACTCCGCAGTTGATCCTAATTCTCCATAATAATTGCGGCAATCGTGTAAATGGATCACTAGAAATTTACGTAGATCAATGTTGAATTCAATTATACAGCAGCGAAATGTTTCGGAGGAAACACGCTCAAGTCTCTCCGACGCAAGTAGCCAATGGTTGCGGCGTCGTCGTTGATTGGCTGCCGGAGTAGTGGAGGGGATACGCCTGCCGACGTGCCTATATAAACCGCCGGCCGGGACTCACCGGATCACTTCTCGCCGAGATATCGCAGTGAGTACGTTCCACGCAGCATATCGAATAGTTCAAGATGACTGGTCGCGGCAAGGGAGGAAAGGGATTGGGAAAAGGAGGAGCGAAGCGACATAGGAAAGTGTTGCGTGATAACATCCAGGGCATCACCAAGCCAGCCATTCGTCGATTGGCCAGACGTGGCGGTGTCAAGCGTATTTCTGGCTTGATTTACGAGGAGACCCGAGGTGTCCTGAAAGTCTTCCTGGAAAACGTCATTCGTGACGCTGTCACCTACACCGAGCACGCCAAGAGGAAGACAGTGACCGCCATGGACGTCGTCTACGCTCTGAAACGTCAGGGCAGAACCCTGTACGGTTTCGGTGGTTAATCCCGCTCTCACTTTATCAAATCAACGGCCCTTTTCAGGGCCAACAATTTTTCAAACGATCGAGTTTTCTCTCAGGCGCATATCCAAGTCTAAGATTAAGTATACACAGAAGCAAGTAAAACGTTATCATTTCGATAATAAATATGTTAATATTTGTTCTCGAGAGATAAGATATTCACTCTGCGATTTTCAAGTTTTTATGAATAGTCCGTATAGAAGTTCGATATTCAGTTTAAGCGCGTATAACTGGAATGGCTTTAACAGTGTATACATTCCTGTTTTAGCCGCTATTGAGTAACAACGAATCGCGAGCAATGCAATGTATTCCGATCCATACGCATGCGTATAGCTTTAAGTGGCTTTCATCAACTTTCTAGACAAAGTTAACTGCACTAATATGAGACTGACACGACTACATTAAGACTTGACACATTGATATGCGGTTAGTAACATAGCACTGCCCAAATAATCGCTCAAAAACGACTGACTGATTCCCAACGCCAACGGAGAGGTGTTTAGAATTCCTTGTTGATTTTTATTTATTTTGGTTCCACCGCTATAATTGTTCTCAATGGTCAGAGTTTCGGAAGAACTATTCGCGCGAGAAGGAATTCACTTAATATATAAATAAGAATAATGAAAAGAATGTTTCGAACGAATGTGAAAATACAAGTGGGATGGAAACGCGATTTTTAAAAAATAAATTTAACAAAGTAAATGTATAAAAGTATGAATATAATTTACTTATAAGACAATAACAGTTCTTTACATAATTCATTTGTTACATAAAACAAATTTTAACGAGGGCGAGTAAAAGATTATTACTTCTTTCACCACTTGTTCAAATTGTAAGGTGATCCTGGTTTTTTAATTAAGTACCTCGCAGAGGTTTACATGTCCCGCCTTCTATAGAAGGAAAACAATTTGAAAAATACTTTTATAAATAATTGTATGTGCAGTCTACTAAATAATATTTTTTATTTTTTTTAATTTAAAAAAACTGAACTGAATACTTTTGAAGATTGCGATTGGGCCTTTCGCCAAACTATGTTCTTTTTAATAGTTACATGTCAACATTGCATAAACACAAAAGAGCGGGAAAATCCATTCAATTTAAAATTGATTTTATAACTGCTTAAAATAATTTGGATTATTTATTTGTACACCTAAATTAATAAAACATTAGCTCGCTACTCATAGCCCAAACAGCACACCATGTCTAAAAAGACAGCTTTAAGACGTCTTAAAGACGTCTTTATGATGTCTTTTAGATATGTGTGCTGTCTGGGAGAGTAGTGATTTTTAGGACATACCTTGCATATATGTATAATAGAAATAAAATAATGAATCGGCAATTTTAAGAATATAGATATTTCACGCACCTTTTTATTTATGTATTCAATGAGTTACGAGCGCGAATGAATTGTCGAACGTATCGTTCTTTTACTAGGAAAAGTGGAGGTTTTACGTTTAGAGATAAATGCAAAATGTCAGAAAGGGGGAATAGAAGGAGAAATAAGAATAATGAAACAGTATAAAATAGAAAGAAAAAAAAGGATGCAGGGAAATAACGTGAAAGAGGGGAAAAGGGAGAATAAAGAATTGAAGAGTCGGGATATAGCAATATGGAAGAGGAAGAGAGAAATATTGGTAGGAGCGTATGTCGAGAAAATCGAGTAGAGAACAGATATAAAAAGAAAAAGATCATGCGAGAAAATAACAAGAAATAAATGTTAGGCCATAAAGATTGGTGGAAATAAAGACTGAAAAGGGAAGAGAGATGAACACGAAATATACAAAAAGGAAGCAATGATTAGCAGGGAAAAAGATTAGAAAGAAAAATAGTAAAGGAGAAAAGGAAAAACTGACGAGTGAAAAATTATTTGTTGAAACTCCCGGAAAGAATAGACGAGATTACGAGAGAGATTCTTGCATCAGGGAGGAAGAAATTAAACATTGATAAGAGAATACGTTGGATGAAGAAGGAAAAGAGAAAGGAAAGATGAAGGGATAGTAAGAATTAAAAAGAGGACGGCGAGGCTGAGGTAGAGAAATTGCGAAAGGTATTTGAATAAGTGGAAGTTGGGCGTAAGGAGAGTTAAATAGATTATACTCGGTTATTTAGGATAGTATGGAGAATGAGAGGAAGGTATGAACGGATGGAAACTAAAGTATTTATTACAATGAAGTTCTACTACTTCTCGATCGTAAAGTAAAATGAATCGTCTAGCAGAAGCTAGTCCATCCAGTACACGAATTATTCTTCAACGTACTGTTACTAAACATAAAAATTAGCAAGCAATTGTTTCAACATTTAATCTCTCCGCTATGTACCGTTAATAAATTTTAACCAAAGTATTCAGGATTTCAAAGGAAATATTAGCACAGGATTAGAGGGTAAAGTGGCAATTGCAAATTTTCGAGTCGTATTCCTCGTCAAATACGGTTTGGGCCCTGAAAAGGGCCATTTAGTATATCTTTCGCAGAACAATTATTTCTTTGCTGCGGCCTTCACGGTCTTAGCCGTGGCTTTCTTCGGCTTGGGCGTCTTTGTCTTCGCCGCCGGTGCCTTTACGGCCTTCTTAGCCTTGGATGGTGATTTCGGCTCTGCGGCGGCTCTGCCCTTCTTCGCGGCAGTTTTCGCGACAGCCTTCTGAGCGGATTGCTTCTTCGGGCTCTCCACGACCTTCTTGGCTGGCTTCTTCGCGGCAGCTGGTTTTCGCGTAGCGGCCTTCTCTACCTTCGTATCCTTCTTGGTGTCCGAATGAGCCGAAGCGCGTTGCGCCTTCCCCTTGGGCTTCGGCTTGCTAGGCTTGTCGTTAGTGGACAGCTTGAAGGAGCCGGTGGCGCCTTTGCCCTTGGTCTGCACGACGGCGCCCGCCGAGACGGCGGTCTTGAGGTACCTCTTGATAAAGGGCGCGACCTTCTCGCCGTCCACCTTGTAAGTGGACACGATGTACTTCTTGATCGCCTGGAAGGACGAGCCTTTGCGATCTTTCAGCTCCTTAATGGCCGCCTTCACCATCTCGGAGGTTGGCGGCCGCGACGAGACCTTCTTCTGCTGCTGCTGCGACTTGGCCTTACTCTTGCTGGCTTTCTTGGCGGAGGCGGTATTGCTCTCCGCACCCTCAACCGCCGCGTTTCCACTGACCTTGTCCTCCATCTCCAACAAGGTGCGCTGCTTTCACGGTTAAAACGATCGTCACGGTATCCTACAGAATGCAGAACAGTCAAAGTTTGTCTACACACCGGCCCGCGGCGCTCTTTAGTACTCAGCGCGCGGACCATGGAGAGAGACCTACCCACTATGTCGCCCGGTTAGTTTCGCGGAAAGCGACGCAGCAGTAAACGTACTTGGACTTTACAATGTTATTACCGCGGGATTAGGGCCGCCAGGAAGACGCCGTGGGGATCGACACGTAGCCACGTGTATGCGGTTTCGTTTCAGGCCCGGCCGAACGCTCCCGCGGCCGGCGGCACGCGTCCGCGACAGAATTTCCCCGCTTGCGTATTTTCGCGCCGATAGCGTAGCCCACGGAAAAACATAAAAACTAGGCCTTTCTCGAAAGATTTTCGATCATGTCCCTCGAGAAAGATGCGCCGGCGAAACGGCGCCGCGTCCTCGGCCGATTATTTTCACCCGCTACCGGCTCGCATCTCGAAAATAAGATGCTTCATTCGCGGCCTCTCGGGATACGCGCGCCCGTAAGGTACACGAGGCAAAATGGCCTTGTTGCTTCTCGGCTTAATGGTATATAATGCAAATCGATGGATCCCACGATTTTTAATTTTCACCGTCGTCCGCTCAAATTCACGACGGACGCTGGAGATCCTTCATAAAATTATTCCCAGGACGCCCGTTCGCCAAGTCGACGAGCGGATACCGCGCAGTTTATCCCGCGGCTACGTAACGCTTTTCGTTCGAGAACCTAGGAAAAAATCGATTCAATAATGTATCCCGGCTAATCGTTTCTTTTTTCGCGGCTGCATTCGTTCGCCAAGTAAAAATTTAAATTTAGCTTATCGCGTTTTTGAAATGACGATAATTCCGACATAACTTGTGTTTTTTTTTTAAATCGTTATTGCCCGAGGTGACGGATTTTATGAACGTACCGTTAGTACGAATTGTTAATGTCAATGACGACAATAGCATAACAAAGTTATTAAAAGTTAAAATTTTATTATTACTACACAATTCTCTTAAATACGTTTGCTCGCGATCGCATTGCTAAAGCAATTTGGGTTTAACGCCACCTCTCGCATACATACGCGGGACACATTACACCGAGAGGATGATATAGTAATAGCAATAATGTGATAATATTTTTAACTGTTTACATCCGTGGAATATTTCGCGTGCGAAATCACGAATGGATTGTTCAGAATCCAATTTGCATATTTAATATTAAAAAGAAAAGTTTCCATGCACGAAAGGACGTTGAATCCTCCGTTCGCGTACATTTTGCGACGTCTAGTTTTCACTTATTGGATCTTTCTGTTGGAGTTGTGTGATTTCACAATTTCTAAACGTTTCAACTATTTCGATAAAGCCAACAATAAATATGACGTGGCGTTTGTATCAAGATACGGAAAATGTTGATGTAATCGACGTAAATAAGATTAACTTCAACATGGACGTAGATATTTGGGATATTTATGAGCAGGAGTAGAATAAAATATCGATTGTACGCAAAAAGATATATTTTATTGCATCCATTATCAGTTCTTTGGAGACAATTCCTTCGAACGGCGAACTATTTCGTGGTGCGTATTGACGCACGTAACATAATCGCATGGCGCGATTCGATTTTCAACGCATGTTCTAACATATAAGTACACATTTCTTTGTGTAACGTAAGAAAATTGACAAATTAATAAAATTCGTATGGCTCAAATGTGATAAACGCAAATTTGAAGGAATATTTAAAGGACTACGAGCCGTGACAGGATGTTAGTGTCTAAATATCTTATTCTAAATTTATTGCAAATAAAACTAATTTATAAAAGCGTAGAATAATTAACAGAGCGATTGATAACAAAAATAAATTTAGTAACAACGTAAGTACTCGAAAATGTGCATACATTAAGAAGTATTTAATGTAGTTCTCGAAGTAAAAAGTCTAAATTTTCGAAATAAAGCATAGAAATATTGAGGATAAAAAATAATTCCTTCGTACAAGTTAATAAATTTTGTGGTGGATACAAAATGATTCACGACTTCCTTCAGTGGGACGTTTACGGTGTCGTCAACCGAGAACTTGAATTTCGGTTTTATCGACATAGTTCCTTGTTCCTTCATGGGGTTTTACCTTGATCCTTTCGTGTACCATTCTTCTCTTAAGCCAACGGCACACGATACTAATTTTCCTACTGGATTGCTCACGAGAGCCAATCGGGATTTAGCCTTAAGTCACCTAATTTAAAACTCTGCATCCTCATTGGCTCTTGTAAACAGTCCAGTAGGAAAAATAGTCTCGTGTGCTGTTGGCTTTACTTAACTGGTACTATTGTATCAGCTTTTTTAAGGGAGGTTCAAGTCTTATACGGAAATCTGCAAAGATCATCTCTTGGCAACACCTTTAGGTCCTTAGGATCTAAGGACCTAAAGGCGACTCCAAGGCTCTCTTGGAGATTTGTGCTGTACGGAATGATTCATTAACAATCTACCAACGTTAATGCGCACGTTCTTCGACTTTTCTCAATACTTAGAAAAATACAATATGTAGTGTGATAAGATACTTTTTTTATATTGCTAGATTTTATACTTTCCTTTCCGAATTTATTATTTTTAGGCTTTCGAACTTACTCAACTTACGTACAAGTACATTTTTGTTTACGTACACGCGTTATATTGTCAAAAACCTAAGAAAGACGATACAAACTAATCTGCAAACCGTAATTCTAGGAGTAATTGCGCTCGTAGCCCCTCTAGGAATATTGCTTTCGAATACATTTCGCGATCGTCGACAACTGCATGTTGCTCGTGCCCTCGTAAATGGTGCCGATTTTCGCGTCCCTGTAGTACTTCTCTTGCGGGAAGTCGGTCGTGAAGCCGACGCCGCCCATGAAGTCAATGCACTTGGCCGTGATACGGCACGCGGTCTCGGATGCGAAGAGCTTGGCCATAGCCGCCTCCTTCATGAAGTCCTTCTTAGCCTCCACCAGTCTCGCCGCGTTGTAGACGAGCAGCCGGGCGCACTCCAGCTCCGTCGCCGCCTGCGCTATCTGATGCTGCAGGCTCTGGAAGGAGAAGATGTCCTTGCCGAACTGCTTTCTCTCCAGGGTGTACGGCACGGTCGCGTCCAGGCAGCCCTGCGCGATGCCAATCATCTGCGCGCCGATGCCGATTCTACCCTCGTTGAGAAACCCGGCCGCGTATTTGTACCCGTGCCCGAACTCGCCCAGCAGATTCTCCCCGGGTATCCTGACGTTGTCGAAGTGCACCATGCAGGTGCCCGACGCCTTGATGCCCAGCTTACTCTCGGGCTTGTTCACCGTCAGCCCGGGCGTGTCGCGGTCCACGAGGAAGGCCGTGATGCCGCGATAACCGGCGGCCGGGTCCGCGTTGGCGAACAGCACGAAGACCCGCGCCACGTCCGAGCTCGAGATCCACATCTTCGTGCCGTTGACGACGTAGTCGGCGCCCTCTCTCCTCGCCTCGGTTCTCATGGCGAAGGCGTCCGAGCCCGAGCCGGGCTCCGTCAGGCAGAAACAGCCCACGGAGTCCTGGACCAGCCTGGGCAAGTAGCGCCGCTTCTGCTCCTCGGTGCCGAGCTTGAGGATCAGCGAGTTTATCAGCGTGTTCTGGATGTCGACCGGCACGGTCACCGCCGCGTCGACCTTGGAGATCTCCTCGAGGGCTAGAATCGTGCTCATGAAGCTGCTGCCGGTGCCGCCGTACTCCGTCGGCACCTCGATGCCCATCAGGCCGTTCTCGAAGAGCTTGCGGAACACGCCGTCGTCTATTCGCCGCTCCTCCTCCATCTTCCGCACGAGCGGCGCGATCTCTTGCCTGGCCAATTTGCCGACCATCTCCTTCGTCATTAACTCGTCGTCCGTGAGTTGCGTCAGCGGACCCGTGTGCTGCCGGAGACGCGACGCGTGTAGGTGCAGCTGCCTCGTCGCGGCCAGCTCTCGCTGCGCCCGGCGTAGAACGAGACGCGATGTGGACGCATACATAATGGGCGCGTTTTGCTACGTTTTCCTCGGGCAGAAACGAGAGAAAGGAATACTCGCGGGGAATACGATCGGTAGAGCGTGATGTGTGTATGTGAATCGGAGGATGACTCGTGCACGCGACTCGTGCTCGCTGAAGACTGTCGAATCACTCTGTTGGTATCACGTGTTACGTTTGTGACGTGGCATTTATACTGTCCGGTATACACCCGACACGCGACTGATAAAGATTTGACATGGCCAAAGACCGAAATTTTAAAGTGTAATCAGGCAACGCCGCAGATTCTCTGTGGCGATATCTTTGAAAAAGGTAGGGGCACATTACGGCATTGATTCGTGTCGTATCGATAAAAAAAACCCTGAGATGCCAAATAATCGAGTAATCTATTCCTGATTATTATTCAAACCGAATTAATGCACTACACTGTGCATTCTGTAAAAACGCTCTGTAGCCGACTCTACGTAGCATCGCATAGCAAGAGAGAAGCGAAGAGCGAAAAGAAGAGAGCCACACAACTACAGAATTACGGAGCTTATGAAGCGAAAATCTTACAGGGCCCGAAGCCCGTGTTCCGAATCCTCTTTTTTTTTTTTTAATCGCTAATAGCGCCGCTAAAATTGGGAGTGCAGGATTCTTATTGGTCGAGAGGATCTTTTTACGGGCGCTTTTGTCTCGATAAAAGAGGATTCAGAACGCGGGGCCTGAGAGAATCTGCTTCGGCGGTCTTTCAGCCGCGAGTAAAACGACCGAGAAATTGTCGAGAATTGGAAACAACGTTATTGAAGGATTGAATCTTGATTTACAGCACCGAGTTCGTAGCCTCTCCCCACTTGGTCTATTTGCGTAAACGTCGTGTGCGTAGTCATGAGCGAGCAGATATCTAAAAATCATCTAATCTTATCTAATGAAGTCCTATTTATATTTCTCAAGAACGCAGCGTCGATTATCAAATTTCACATTTCGTTAAAATAATCGGACTTGTCAAGTACGCGCGTTTTCTGCATTGTTAACCTACTTTGTTAAGGCCATTCTACAATTGCGTAAACGTGGTTGTTATCGGTTGTACAGTGTTGTACAGTTTTAAACTAGCATCTCCGATTGTAAAGCCCGTTGTAAAAGATGGCTGAACTTCATCTTTCACGACTACAACGATGTAGGACGTAAAAGCTAACCAATCATTCACTTCAATTACGACGTATCTTACTCTATTGTATATTACTTTGATGTACAACACTTACTACTACTTCTACTCCTACAACTCAACAACTACGTTTACAGAATTGTAGAATGACCTTTAGAATTACTCGACGGACCGCGCTTTTGTAGTAAAATTATATTCTTTCAACTTATGAAAGACGAGCTCATAAACGTCTGGTTAACCCCTAACCGGAGTTCAGTCGACTCCCTATCTTTTTTCCGTCTTGGGCTCGGTTTCACCAACGTTGTTCGACTTTAAGCTTAGCTCGATTCGTCCTTTGTCTCTTTGCAATTGTTACTTCAGAGACAAACGTGAATCGAACTAAGATTAAAGTTAAGCGACGTGCGGTGAAACCGGGCCTCATTGTTAAGAAGAGATAGGGTCGGTTTCACAAGTGTCGGTTAACAGCTAATCGAAGGTTAATTGACTCTGTCTCTTCTTAGGTAACAAAACGGAAAAAAAGACAGGAAGTTGACTCTAGTTAGCAGTTAACCGAATTAAACTGGCCCTAAGTAACCGAAATTTCTCCTTCCAAGCAGCGATCCTGAAAAAGATTGCACGATGGACATGCATCACAAAAATTTCTTTGCGCATTTCGATGAAATCTTCTCGAGCACATTCTCGCAGACCGAACGAAAAGGGCGAAGAAATTCGCTCGCTCTTCGCAGGTCGCGCGAATCCCGTTTCGACGAAACTCGAGCCGCACGCGATCACGAATGCGCTGCGACGCATGCACCGCGGCTCGCGCGAACGGTAGTGGCGGGGAATTGACCAATCACGCGACCCAACGCCGCTCTCCGCTGCGCATCCCCACCACCGTCGCGCCAGCCAATCGGCGTCGCGCGCCCGGGGCCAGCTATCCTATATAAGCGCGGCATTTCGCCACCGCAGGCTCAAACCGCTGTTGACCGTCGCATCGTACGAGAGACAACCGAACTCGATCGAGATGGCAAGAACGAAGCAGACCGCCCGCAAGTCCACCGGAGGCAAGGCCCCGCGCAAGCAGCTGGCGACGAAGGCGGCTCGCAAGAGCGCGCCCGCGACTGGCGGTGTCAAGAAGCCGCATCGCTATCGCCCTGGAACCGTCGCTCTTCGTGAGATCCGTCGCTACCAGAAGAGCACGGAGCTCCTGATCCGCAAGCTGCCGTTCCAGCGGCTGGTCCGTGAGATCGCGCAGGACTTCAAGACCGATCTCCGCTTCCAGAGCTCGGCCGTCATGGCTCTGCAGGAGGCGAGCGAGGCCTACCTCGTCGGCTTGTTCGAGGACACCAACCTTTGCGCCATTCACGCCAAGAGGGTCACCATCATGCCCAAGGACATCCAGCTGGCTCGCCGAATTCGTGGGGAGCGTGCCTAAATTGCTTCTTATATCAATCGGCCCTTTTCAGGGCCAAAAGTCCTCCGTACGGTGGAATGTCTCGGGCTACCAATTCACCTTTAATTTGTTACGAAAACGTCTCCTGCCTTCCACACGTTCTTCTCCGAGCTCTTGCACAGGAGAGTCTACAGTGTTCCAATTCACGCACGAGATACATAGGGAGCTTTCCAGCAAGCGACACAAGTCAACACAAATGTCGTTCTGTCTTTCTTCGCATTCAATGAATAATAAAGACAGAACGACACTTGTGTCGACTTGTGTCGCTTGCTGGAAAGCTCCCATAGTTTGTCCTCATTCACCAATGTTAAAGAAAGATAAATAATGCATGCATATCGTGCGTGAAACTACGCGCTCGTGCAAAGTTCATCTCGCTTACTCGCACGCTTCGTCTCTGGCAGCATTTTCTAGAAAAAGAATTAAATTGTTCCGAAAGCAACGTAACTGATGCGAGCGCGAAGTAGACTTCGGCGAAGCTGCTGCTGCAGATTCTTCGAAGCGTCTTTCTCTCCCGTCTTTGTTGAGTGGAGGAATACGTCGAAACGTTTGTAACCGGCCGTAAAATGCCCCCGAGAGTAACGTAATTTTGGCGCGCTCTTCAGCGAGGCTCGGGGACGCTGCAATGGCGTCTCGAGACGCGACTACGCGCGCCGCGCTGGAAAAGCGAACGATGCAGCCGTTAATCGGTCTGCCATTTTCGGCAAGTCTTGCACAAATGCGGGACACACGGAACTACGTGGAGGGAAGGGAAGAATTCGTCGAAGTTCGTTACGAAGCGCGCCAAAACTGCCGACGTCACGACGGCGTCGCTCCGCGAGGTGGCGCGGGCGGGCGTCTCCGGTTTCAATATCGCTGGTAAATGGAACTCTGATAAGCCCCCGGGCATGAAATCATCCTTATTTCGAAGAAAGAATGTATTTGCACTCGCGCGCACGAGCGAATGCTCTTTGCGAGGATCACGTAACCACTTGAGTCAGGTTAGGTTGGCTTGCAAACACGAAATACGAGTGGAGTAGAGGGTCGTCGTAGCCAGCGACGCGCTTCAGTCGTTCTCATTAATAGCGAATTCGCGATTGATCGTTGGATCGAATATCGCGCCGTCCTTCGCCGTCGCGTTTTTGCTACGCTCCCGTGGTATTTTTGGCCGCTGGCGAGAAAGAGAGAGCGGCGGGGCTCTCGCGACTCCCGAGTCTCGGACTTCCGTCGCGAGTTTAGAATGCGAGGGCCCTTCCCTCCGTTTGTTTTCCAACCGCGGTGACTGCGAGAAGGGGGGGAGGGGGAGGGGGAGGAGAGGAACGCGCACGCCGGAGGAAAGTCCCGGGGGTCCCCCGGCCCCGGCGATGTCGACGGGCGACGGTTTCTCCTCGGAGCCGACGGTCCGTTTGGGTGGGGAAAATCGATAGGAAAAGGCCGAGCTCAAAGTGCCGAGGGAGAGTACACGCGGCGGTGTCGTTAACGGCTCTCTCTCTCTTTCGCTTTCTCTGCGTGCGGGACGACTGGGATATCTCGCGGCTACGCCACGGCGGCGACAATGCCGTCTCAACGGAGATGCCCCCGGGCGAGTGTCGCCGCGTCCCGATGAGCGGCGCGGGGAAGCGTCTGCGTCGCCACAGCTGCGTGCGATCTCGCGGCGGAAGATGCTGAGGCTGCCCGACGGCTCTTGACGCGACGGGATCGGCGGCGAGGCAGCCGGCGGCCGCTGGAAAATGACCGCCGGTCGGCGGCTGGTGCGCGCCTTCTGCGCGCTTCTCTGCTGCCTGTCGCTGCGGCCGGATTACGCGCGCTCGACCCACATCACCGGCACGTTCGACACGCGCGAGTTCTTCCGGTTCCTCATAAAGTTCGGCTTCCAGAAGACCGACCGCCACCGGCAGCGGGACTCGTACGGCTACATATTCGGCAACGTCACCGCGCGCACCGAGTTCGACGTGCCGATCACCCTGGCGATCCTCGACCGCGGCCACTTCCTCGAGTATTACGGCAACCGCACGCTCGCGGACAAGAGCGCCGCGTGCGCCTACATGTTCAACACGCTGAAGAAGAGTTCCTACGACCCGGACTGCAACGAGGAAGGCCAGGACTTTTTGAGGTAGCCTACGCGTGGCGTGGGTGTACAGTGGAAGGTCCTCTACCATGAGATAAGCTCCTAATACGAGATAGCAGGGTTTGCTCTGCATTAATAGGCATCGTCTACTCGATTTGTGAATTCATTGCCCTCGGAGTGAAATCCGTTCAGTGGAAAATTCACCGTTGGGTCGTGTAATCGTTTTGAACAAAGATTTGTTATTAAATTGGCACGTTGAAAAGCTGCTATCTCATTAAAAAAAAAGAGGACTCTTCTCTGTACACGGTCCCTTGGGCCCTGCCCTCGTTCTGTCTCGAATCGCAGCTGAACTAAACTTAAATTTGCCTCGTAACCTTTGCAGGCGGGTACCGTGTCCTCGCGACAAGCTCTGCCCGGACGAGGACTCGGTGTGGAATATCGTCAAGGGGCACCAGTTCACGTACGTCATACAGGACTTCTGGCAGCCGCGTTTCTGGTACATGAGCCTGGTGGCGTGCTACAGGAACAGGACGACCTGCCAGTGGGAGTATTACAGCAGGCACGACGAGCTGGAGTACGACATCTGGCTGGTGAACGGCAATCCGAACGTCAGCGGCCTAAACAGCCTGACTTATCAGTTCTCCTACGACCGGCAGAACACCATCGAGCTCTACCTGCTGTTCTTCGTGTGCTACATCATACTGGTGCCGCTGCAGTTGTACGCAGTGAGACTGCAGAAACACCCAGTGACGAGGTTGTTCACCGCTAGTCTGTTGTTGGAATTCGTGGCGGTGTGTCTCATCCTGATACACGTGTTGAAATTCGCACTGGACGGAGTAGGATACGAACAATTGGAGGTCGCGGGTGATATTTTTGATATCCTGTCACGGGTAAGAGAATATCGAACGCTGCTGAAGTGTGATGTTGGAGGAAAGTGAGAAAGATAGTAGGCTTTCAACGTTCAAATTCAATCGCAAGTCTTTCGCAACGACTACACAATTTAACAATCAATGGCCGCGTTCAGCAGACACAACTGTTGAGTGAGCGCTCAATGATTTCTTAATACGATTGGATCTAAAAGTATTAACCAATCATACCGAGCGCTCACTCAACAGTGTCTGCTGAACGCCAATTTTCCACAAACGCAAGCAATAAATTCATGGTGGAGCCAACAGATGATGCCTATTTAGCAGAAACTCCGCTATCTCGTTACAGAGGACTTGTCTCTAATAAATTCGAGCGATCTAACTTCATTCCAATGTATGAATCGTATTAATCTTCTCGAGTTTGTCCGAAATATCGATTTATGAGCAATCAATGTGAATGAATGTTATCCAACTATAAAGTAAAAAAATTAGCTAGTGTCCCTCTTGGTGTGTATTATCGGCATGGAATTTTAATGTTGAATTTTTTTTTCACATTTCTAGACGTCCTTTATGTTACTATTGCTCCTGCTTGCCAAAGGATGGGCGGTAACAAGAATGGAATTAACATGGAAGCCACTGGTATTCGCTATATGGTTTTGTTACGGGGTTGTTCACATCTTATTATATGTATGGAATATGGTAAGTATGTACACTTTCCCTGTATATTATTTACACGCGCATCGATTTGCCCAGCGAATTATCTTACTAACTAGCTAAATTTTTTGGTTTCAGACAGAAGTTGATATCATCGAGGACATAGATGAGTATCAAACTTGGCCAGGATGGTTTATATTGTTATTCCGAAGTGCCATAATGGTATGGTTTCTGTATGAACTTCGAAACACCATGACATACGAGCATAATACTCAAAAGTTGAACTTTCTCCTTCATTTCGGCGCGTCGTCATTGGTTTGGTTCATATATTTACCCATTATAGCACTTATAGCGCTTCAAATAAGCGCACTGTGGAGGTTTAAGCTGTTATTAGGTGAGTGAAGTCTGTAAAAACGTTGAGATTAATTTCCCCTCGCCTGTACCTCGCGTCTCACGCATTGTCGAATTTACAGGTATAACGTACTCGGCGGACTGTTTCGCTTATTGCGTAATGGCACATTTATTATGGCCCACCAGAAGTGAACAATATTTTTTACTCGCGCAAGGCGCGGACAATGGTGACGAACTCGATGAATTCAACGAAGCGCCGCATGTATTAAATAATTATGTAGAGCCGCCGGAACTCGGTAAAATAATTACTTAATACTCGTCCATTGGAAGTATGATATTAAATTGACGACATTTTTAATTACAAGTGATGTGATGTACATTTGCCAAATGGTCAAGCTAATAGGACGGATAATACTCTAATATGTGCTAACGAACTGAAATATTGTGCACATACCACAGTTAGAGATATCAATTGTCAAATTCGGTCATGTGATATGAGATCGGTAGACAACGGAAGTAAACGAGTATGATATGAGTATGTGCTATGAACAAACAGGATTGTCGATTTCATATGTACTAGGTGTCCGGAAATTCGAGGATAATAAGATTGCAGCACGAGAGTTCGTGAAAAATTAAGTAGTAAAGATGCATGTAATTTTTTTAAAAATAAAGTAGTACTTTAAGAGTTTAAAATCTAACCAGTCGTATGCGTTGGTCAACGAGTCATTCGTCCGTGCGTGGAATGGTATTGGACGTCGTTCACACACGTTCGCGATCACAGATTACTCTTTAACTAACGATGATTAATTATATTGTAAACGTTTAAACTCTTATACTTAAAATATTGCTGGTTTTTTTAGTAGAATGCACCTTCACTACTTTAATTTTTTATAAATTGTTACGCTGTAATCTTTTCCTCGAATTTCGAGACATCTTGTAGATTAATAATCAACAGTATTTAATTACCAGTAATTTTATATCCACAAAGTTAAGAACTAAGTATTTATCCATTCGAAGGATGATATGCGTTTTAATATTCTTGGTGTAAGTTCTTGCATATTACTTATTAAGATAGCATTGGTCAACTGGTATGATTGTACACTTTAGAGGACATAAAAATTAATTATATATTAATACACAATTTCTAAAATCATTTTCCAAACTACTTACTCATATCATGTTCATGTTCAACTTGAGTTTAAAATAATGTTGATTTTTGCTGTTTTTCTAATTATTTTATACATTTTGATTTTATCAGACAATATCCTTGAAACCTTGACATATTGTATCTGTGCAAAGAATATCTCACAACAACAGCATACTTTTTTTTGAAGCTATCGTTTAATTCGTCATTACATCTTGTAATTATTCCACGTTTATTACTCCAAGAATATTACAATGTGCGCTTGAATAAGAATGGTGGAAATAAAACTACGTATAACTTTCATAACACACAATTTGAATTCTAGTTGAGTGGTTTAAAAGTTACGTATGTGATGTGTGTGTAAATAAGTCATGCTGATTTATCAATAGCAGACTTTTAACAAGAAATACGGGATGTTTTAAAATTACCAGACGTTCTTTTGACTATAGATTCTTTGACCAATTCGTATCAGGACACTAGCTTTTGAGCAATTAGCGATTGAAAAAAAAAGAAATAGAACTTTTCTCCGGTTTATTTTCATTAAATATAAAAAAAATGAAAGTTGATTACAAAAGTATACAGTGTTAGAAAATTAAAAGGATAAGATTGTTGAACTCCCTCAACGGCTAAGGAAATATTTACAACTTGCGCAAAGAAGCTATGATTAAAAAAAAGTATTTTTTATACGTTTTGCATAAGAACATTTTCATATATTTTCTTTTTCCTAATTTCATAGGAAGATTCAATCTTTTCAAGTGTATAATCTTAAATTGTCATCGGTTTGTTATTAGATAGGCAGCGTGTATTATGAGTAACAATCACGTACACACGAACACAGAAAGTGAAAGAGCACTTGTATAACATTCTTCCGATTTTATTCAAGTAAGTTCACACATGTTGGTTGCACATTGTTGAATAAATATAAATACTTTATATGAAAACGATTGAGACATGATCTGACACATACGAGTTTACGCTAGCTGTAAGCGCGTGTTTTCCTGTCATACTACTATTATTGCTCAAACTTGTGTAACTTAGGTAATATGATTGTGTATACTCTCTTGAGAATATTTTAATGCTCATTGTCAGCGTATATGTATATCTCGCGGGATCGGTAAACCTTTATATTACATTTCTAATGTCCGCACTAAGATGAAAGCAATTTAATATAATGTGTTTTTTTTTATTTACTCTGTTACTAAGTATGCTCGTTATATTTAGAATTTTAAGCAGTTTTTTGTGTGAAGAGCACATTTTTAGATATACGTTACGCAAATTATGTTTTTTGTGAATATCAGTGTGTCTAATACGTACATAATTTATTTCCAAAAGTATATGCGTATCTTCAAACACGTTTTGAGATGCTTTTGTAGATAAACGGAGGAAATAGCGTTATATAAATAGCGAATATTTTAGTATAATCAACTTGTTATATCACGTCATTACGATCCAGGAAAGATATTTAATCGATCTTTTTTGCCAGGATAGATAATGTATCACTTGATAAATAATAATTGTTTTATATACCTAACTTGAAAATTGTATACGTGCAATTTATAAATCTCTTCAATAGCGAAAGTAACAAGAAGTACAATTTTAATTTACTAACATTTTATTGTTGCATACATATTCTTTCTATACATTATATACATGTGTTAAATACACTATACAGTACTATATACAGTGTATAGCATTTCAGGAACTTGGTATCTGCCCAAAGAGGATACAACCGTTTTCATACAAAAATTACATTTCTTTTTTCTAAAATTACATTAAAAGACGTTACAACTTTCGTGTTATTTTTTAAATATCAAATTGTTCGACGAATCATTGTATTTGGATGTGAAAAGGTTTGATTTTGCAACGGACATTCTTTTGAAGTTACATAAGAACGTAACACAAAGTTATAATAATCTCAGTCTCGATGTAAGACTGTCAATAACTTCATTGGAGCCGGGTCCTATGCCGACGACTGTGATTGTACCGGGCTTCACCTGAGTTATGCCAGCGTCTTTTATCACGGCAGTAATTAAACCAGCGCGTCGAGCTGCGCTCGCTAGGGTCAGCAGTGCCTCCTCGTTCGGTATTTTCACAATGATCTTAGGCTGCCCACTTTGTAACCAGGTCTCGAACATCAACTGCCTCTTCTTGTTGTTCAAGATCTGGCGGTAGCATTCCAGGGCGGCGTGAGCGCACTGCGCGGCAGTCTTGCCTCTTCCCATAGGTAAGTCCGACCGGACCACTATTACCATCTTACACTTCTCTCCGTTCCAAACGGGGGGCAGGAAGGATCTGACGTATTTACTTATGAACCACATCTTTTTTCAAGTCTTTCACAACTGCGCAATTGTTACTGAGGTCTCGATACCTGTTGCTCTGTGTGTTTAGCCATGCACTCCTTGAACCTTTTCACCTCATTCTGACACTTTCTCCAGTCTTGGTGCTCGGCTATGCATTCCTGAAAGTGATCGGTTATTAATAGAATGAAATTAGAAAGATCGTTAACACAATCGGACCATTTGTCTCACGACAAATTGACTTGGGGCCAACTTGCCTAAAGGTAAATAGAATCTGCTTTCGGCTTATTGTTTTATTAGTCTTTGAGAATTGAAACTGTGGACGATTAAATTTTAAGCGACACCGCCGATTGCGTACGTACTTGAACCTGGTAGTGCAATTCTATGCAACCGGTTTTCTTCAGCATCCGCTCGACAGGATCCTCAATTTCTTTCTCCGTATCGGTACTCGATAAGGTCATTACGATACCAGTGTTCGGATGAGAGGAAGTTTGAATTTCACTGCTGAAAAATTTTTATTCTCATAAAACAATCAATAAAGTTGCATAAAGAAAATTTTACGAGACACACATTCATACGGAGGTTAATTACATTTTGCCGAGTACACTCTCGTCCGTCCGCCACTTCGCTATTCGAAAACAGAAAGGTCTAACCTGGAATTAGATAGAAGACCGAGAGGAATCCATGTCTGCGTTTTTTAGATGTCGACAACGACGTTTCGCGTAATGAAAACTGATCAGTGAGCACTTGCGCTGATTGGACTAAACTGTGAAAAATCCAGAAGAATAGTCCTATCGCAGTACAGATCTAAAAGCGTAACCCAATCAGCGCGAAGCGCTCATTGAGCAGCTTTCTCTGTCGGACGCGGCCATTGGCTCTAGAGACCCACTGATCAGAGCCTGGACATGCGGTATCCAGCGTCTGATTGGTTCGCCGTGTTTGTGATTTTCCCCGCTGAATTTTGAATTGACAATTTTATTCCACCTTTATGGTTTTACAAACGACAGGTTAGCGTGATTGATTTCGACTATTTTGACGCGTATCCCTTTGTCGAGGTGTCATTGCAAAACGGTGCCGCGCGTCCACCCATTTCTGCAATCAACAGCAAACTCACGCTATCATCAAACTTGGTGCGATGTGCGGTTTTGTCTTTACGCGTACTTTAATCGTGTGGAAGGATCTTGCGATTCTATAAAGGCAATTTCAATTTTAGTTAAAACTTTAGTTACAAATTGAAACTTTCAAACGCCAATATCTTCCTTATTGGACTTCTGAACCGAGTGTTTTAAGTATGAAAATGTTCTACTATCCGCAACTTATCCTGCTGTTATTTTGCGCAAAAAAGCTAATAAAAACAAAAAACTTTTCTTCCAGGCTAGAAGACGCGCTGTACGCTCCACGTCGCAGACGGGACTCCTCAAAGCAACGCCGCTTCGTGCGAAAACTACTTATATCTCGACCGGGCGCGGACACGTGGCGCTCTTTTCACACCCCTTTTTTAAAATTCGCCCACACGGGAGACGAGATACGGGGGGGGGGGGCGGACACGTGGCGCCGCCAGCGCCCAGCCGTCTGAACTATCCGACTGCGTGAAAGTAAACCAACGGCGTGTTGTACGGGGCCTCAGCGGGGATCGACGAAGCGGCCACAGGACAGGGGACACTCCCGGATCTGCGCGAATTTCAGAGGTATTTATCGGCGAAGCGGGCCGCTTCGTTATCGCGCGATTCGCCCGCGACTCGGCTCGGTTTCGCCTCGCCGCGCCTCGCCTCGCCTCGCCTCGCCCCCGCCGCGCTTCTTCGCGCGAGACGGCGAGACACCCGACGGCTCTCGCGACGCGCGGGCCTGCGACGCAGCGCGACGCTCGGCGTCCCGCTCGTCCTCCGCGAGCGCGGCACCGCCTTACTCTCGTTTACTCGCGTTACACCCGGTGACAGTCGCCGACCCGACTCGCTCCGGCCGGTGGCGCTCGATAATCGCGACGGGACGGGCCGGGCCGGGCGCGGCGCAGCGAACCGCCCCGCGATTTTTCTTACGTGCGTCGCTCGTACGCGAATTATCTGTAGCGCTCGCCCGCGTGTCGCGGTTCTCTCGCGCGCGGCTGCGATAAGGCGTGAAAGAGGAGAAGGTGCGATTAAAGCGCGCGACATCGCGAGGTGTCTTCTTTCCTCGTTTCTCACGTGTCCCTTTCTACTTCTCGCGCGCGCGCGCGCGGCTCACAATAATCGGGTAAGGAGAAGGAAGAGGAGGCGCGCGAGGTGTCTCGTTTACGTTCTTTCTTCGTTTCTCACGTGTCTAGTTCGACTTCTCGCGCGGGCTTCCTTCGCGTGGGCGAAAATTGTATCCCGAGCGGCGACGACATGCGCGTCGAGCGGTGCGGGTGTGCGATTTAATCCAATTAGTAAGTTCGTGGTTCTCTCCTTTCGGCTTTGCCGCCGACACTGTTGCCAGCTGCGGAGCGTTCGGTTCTGTGCACCGATCATTTGTCGGTCTTGAAACGTACCTTATCACTTGCTACACGATAAACCAAGTGCGTCGACGCTGTGAGATTTGTTCCGTGCCGTGCGCACAAGACCCACACAGCGCCGAAGCGTTCAGAAACATTGCAACAATGCTTTCTGAAATGTTTCTGAAAGCTTCGGTGCTGTATGGGAATGTGAAGCCCTGCATCCACGATCCAAGAACTGTGTCCAAGTTCTAGTTTCGAGAAATGCGTAGCCAATCAGCTTGCAGCTACTCCGTAAAGCCTTGTGTCCACAATCCAAGAACTTGGTCCAAGTTCTAGTTTCGAAAAATGTGTAGCCAATCAACCTGCAGCTATTCCATAAAAGCTGCAAGGTGATTGGCTACGCATTTCTCGGAACTAGAACTTGGACACAGTTCTTGGATCGTGGACGCAAGGCTTAAAGCCTTGTACAAAGCCCACACATTATTCTAAAGCCTTGTGTCCACGATCCAAGAACTGTGTCAAGGTTCTAGTTTTGAAAAATGTGTAGCCAATCGACTTGCATCTCTTACGGAAAAGCTGCAAGTTGATTGGCCACGCATTTCTCGGAACTAGAACTTGGATACAGTTCTTGGAACGTGGATACAGGTTGATTGGTTGCACATTTCTTGGAACTAGAACCTGGACACAGTTGTTGAATCGTGGACACAAGGCTTTAGAATAATGTATGCGTCGAACGCCGACAAAGTGCAATATAATTCTCACGAGTATAAAATAACGGATACCAGGAGTTTCTTATCTCTATTTCTTATCTTTAACGCTATCCCGATACTTCCGTCTAAATTATCAGCTTTCGAAGTAGAGAATATATCGTATATCTATGTGGTATTGTATATAGAAAATATATCATAACCGAGAACACATATATAAAGCTACATTCTCTCCTTATCCTAGTCTTAGATTTCTCACACCGACAACGTGATTCTTGCATCCTGCTATTGTTATTTCTGCCCCGCTTCAATTAAGATAACCATCAGAAAGAGACCCCTGTTTTGAAGAGGTGCGGAGGACGTAGATACGCCTTGTTAAAATTTTCTTGCTGTGTGATTTTTCTCGCCCGCTTATCGTTATCGTACGGCAGAAATGTATACACTTGTTGTCTCTGCCAATTGATTTGGAAAAAATAACGCGACAACAATAAATATGAATAAATAACGACGCGCGTATATTTGTGCATTCGGAAAGTCTCGAATATCGTGGGCGTAAAGTTCCACCACCGTAGACTTTTAAGATACGTCAAGCGTTTAGTGACCACTTAATTTTAATTGAAGGTAATTATCTCAGAAATGTCGAGGAAGCCAGGAGCAACTCAAGCAATGCATAAGGTCATAATGGTTGGAAGTGGAGGTGTTGGAAAGTCTGCACTGACACTGCAGTTTATGTATGATGAGGTAAATTTAAAAAAGTAACTTAAGATAAAAAATTGCACTTTTAATGTAAGTAATGTATCTTGTTAGAAACGCGTGACTTTTACATTTCACATCTCTACTTCGTCTACTCGACCGATAAACATCGTGTTTTAGAAAAATTTGATTCTTTAAGCATATTATTACGAAGATATTGACTTTCTATAATTCTAATCATGACATTGAAATCAGTTTGTTGAAGATTACGAACCTACAAAAGCGGATTCCTACAGAAAAAAAGTTGTATTAGACGGAGAAGAGGTACAAATAGATATCTTAGATACGGCAGGACAAGAGGATTACGCAGCGATTCGAGATAATTACTTTCGCAGTGGGGAAGGGTTCCTCTGTGTATTTTCGATAACGGAAGATGATAGCTTCCAAGCTACACAGGAATTTAGGTCAGTAAAGCACGATAGAAATTAATCGCTAGTTTGCGATGCAAAGCTACTGGAGAAGAATTTTGATAAAATAATTTCACGATGTCTGATTGTTCCACATGAATAGAAAAAAAAACTGTTTTCTTTTCTATAGAGAACAAATTCTCAGGGTAAAAAATGATGAGAACATTCCATTTTTATTAGTGGGAAATAAAAGTGATTTGCAAGAAAAAAGGAAGGTTAGTTTAGCCGAAGCTCAAGCAAGATCTCAACAATGGGGCGTTCCTTATGTAGAAACAAGCGCTAAAACAAAAGAAAATGTAGACAAGGTAAAATACTGATTGTGTACCATTTTTATTTCATTTTATTCGCAAGCTCTGAATATAAAATTATAATACGTATAAAAATATTTTTTATATATACATGTATATAATTTTTACTTATATTTTAATATTATCTTTATTTTTTAAAACAATTGATATTTTCTATTTTGATTTTTTCCCCTCTATTTTGTTTTCAACAAAACGAGAAATTTGTGGGATCAACTTTTTTGCTATTAAACTTTACGGTAGTAAATGTGACGGATGTTTCACTGCAGGACACTTCATTCATAGAGCATATACATATGTATACATGTGTACCAATGTAGTTACATTAGATGCATTCACGTATATTTTTTGTTGCTTTCACTTTCACCCTCAATGTAATGTGATCGCATATGAATTGATTGCACGGAGTATGCATTTTTAAATAGGCTTGATTCTGCAGTCTATGTACATTTATATACATTGTTTTATCACCATGTATCGTGCTACTGCTTATATGCACACAATTCTTGTTTTTATCTCTTAAAAGTATACATGATAGTTTATTTTATAACGCACATTTTTATATGCCTTAAAGCTTTGAGACAGCATCGATTGCACATTTGCAGGTATTTTTCGACTTGATGCGTGAAATAAGGTCTCGCAAAATTGAAGATAAATCGGCAAGTAATGGTCGAGGTAAAGACCGTACCAAGAGGAAGAAAAAGAAGTGCATTATTCTATAGGTTTGCTGCTTTTTCTCTTGCGCACTATTATTTTATTTTGTTTCTTAAAACGATGATGGAGTTCTGTGGCATTTCCTGTCTTGACAATTTTAATTTATGTCAGTGTGAAATGTATAGGGAATGTCAGTACAGTGTATTTTGTTAATGCATTTTCTGATAATCTCTCAGTAGATATCATAGATATGCAATAAAAATATAATTAAATCAGACAATGATTTTTTAGAAAATTGTAATAGATGTTAATTACCTGAAACAAAGATATTTTATTGCATATTTATATTTTAATGTGTTTTGTGCTTTACACTCACATATTTGAAATATATAAATTTTATTTATATTTAATGCGTTTACAAATATTTATGTGAAATAAATGTGATACACTTGTAAAACTTATCACAGCTTATGCATAGCATGTATGCTTTTCTTTTTTTTTTCAATATCATTGTGTTACAATGTCTTGTGTCACATAAGTTAGCCATGTTTTTGTATTATAAATCAGTAGTTATCGTATAAGAAAAGAGAAAAGCATAAAATATTTTACTCCTAATTGAAACCCTTGCAATGAAAATGTATTCTTTCAGTTTGATTACATAAATTATAATGTTTTTATAATTTTGTAAGTAACCTAGGTCCTATAAATATGCAATTCATGATATTTTGATGAAATTTTATTTACACAAAGAAATATGAATGAACAAAAATGTTTGAACAGGAGGAGATCAAGATTGCTTTATATGATAAGCAAATTTAAGTAATATTGGTATACTCATTTAATTGTGTTGTGTTTCCATTCTTAATATTAATGTTTAATTTTTAGTCATTAACGTGCAAGTTTTGAACAGTTTATACATTAAAATAAATAAAAAAGCATTTATTCCACGTTGCAGGTGTTCTTTGATTTAATGAGAGCAATAGCTGCTCGTAAGGCACAGGAAAACCAAGGAGACGGGAGTGAACGTAATAAGGAAACAAAGTGCTGCATCTTGCTATAACAAACATAAAACAATATGTAGCTTATGTTATGGAAGGTTCATCTCCTATAATTGAAAGCTTACCATAAGAGAACTGTATTTATATATAAAAATGAAAGTTTTCTGACACTTTACAGTGAATGACGCTTTCAATCTTCGCTGTTCACTATATTACAAAATATATTAAACTTAAGATATATATATATTATATATATACAATTTATTCTAATATATACATATTAAATATTAACTGATTAACTAATATATATTCCAAGAATGTCACATATACCTGTTTTCTATGAAATTAAAAAATTTTTAATAGCAATACATTTTATTACTCTCTAGTTTTTATTATGTAATATAGTCATGTAATATATAATTTGAATTAAAAAGCAAAATTTATAACATTTATGATAGCTAAGAATTACGAAAACGCAAAATTACTTGTCACTCAGAGTGCTGAAACGTAAATATTGTTAATATACTTGAGGAGACTGAAAATGTAGACGATACATATTTTATAAAGATTATTTGTTTTTCCGATTGAGCAAATAATGTAATTACATTCATGTTGAAATAAAATAATTGCATTCTTAATTGCCTTGTGCATTATTTATTTGTGACCTTTAACGAGTTCAGCACTCTTTGTTTAAAAATAACAAAAGATTAGAAATTAAATTCACTATCTTACATATTTTGATTATTGATATAGTGAAAAAGTTCAGATATCAAAGTAGTCGACACTGTAAAGTAACGAAAACTTGTAATTTGTAAGCAATTTGTTTATATATATACATATATTTCACATAGTTTTAATATATCGCTATGTTTTATAGTTATTTTTATCACAGCATTTTATAGTGTAACAGTTTGATATCTCGAACGTGTGAGTGAATTTTATAACACAGTTGTAACACATTAATAATTATTTCTCTTTGTTATATACAATGTTATATGTATATTAAATTTTATTATGCAAAAAATGATCATCATTTTGCATACAAACATGATAACATTAGGTTTCAAGTATAAATCCTAGCATATTGTGTTGCATATTGTGTTACGTATTGTATGTATAAGCCACAGCATATAAAACCAAGATAGAAAATTTCAACGAAAAAAATTGATTTATATTCTCTCAAATTTTTGTTGTAAAAATTATCAGTTTATTTTGCAGTAGCATTTGACGCTGTTACTTGCACATCTGAAATATCAAGCCATGATGTAAAAATGAGATGAATTTTTATGTTTAACATGGTAGACTGTAATTAGAGACTGATTGTATAATTAAGTCACTTGTTTAAAAACTTCTACCTCTATAAGGCGCATTTATGCAGATATATAAAGTAAAACAATTTTAATACAGCTTTGACCGAAGAGAAAAGTGACTTGAGAATTGTATTACGAAATGATTATTAAAGTTACGCAAAATGCGTATGTACAATAGTTTTTCTTTTAAAGAAAATGAGAGAAATATTTGTCTATTTAATTTTGATACTTTTGTACTGTTAACATTGATTGTGCCTTTTAAGTGTTCATTGTTAATGTAACGAGGTCAATCAAACTTTAAGATTCTTTAGAAGAGTTTTATGACAGCATTTAGATTCAGATATATATCTATATATACTACACACACACATACACATTATTTACATCACTATCTACATCTTTGCAATTCTATGTTTAATCTGCTATTTTGTCATAAATTAAATGCCTTTTTATGTAATATGGATGTGATTTATTATTGAACTCTTATTTATCCATTTACTTATATCCAAACAATTTTATTCTTAATCAAGTGCAAGTTATAGAATACATGAAAATTCTAACATTAAAACACGATACATTAAATATCTTTTATATCACTTGTTAATATTGATGAAACAACAAATACATATGTGATTAAGTAAAAGATTGAGAAAAAGAGTGACCCCAAAAGTTGCTTCTTTTTAGTCGCGCAATATTGAAACTGAAATTGGTTTGGAAAGAAACGGATTTGGACACGAGCCGGGTGTTCGAGCGCTCGCGAGATTTGCGATGGTGCCATTGTATGTTTCTTGAATGTGGTCAAATATTATGGAGTATCAGGGATTCATGTATCCAATCTTGATATGTGTGATCCACTTACCATAAAACATTTTTTGTCAAAACTAATTACGTCAGTGTAGCTATCACAATACTGTTGAAGAAACTGTGAGATTTCTGTTTTATTCTGGAACTACTTATTCCACATGATTGTCTAGCATCAAGAAAAGTTCGCCTGGAGATATGTCAGAAGAATATGGAAGATGAGATAACATCTAAAGCAAATCTTCTGTCGAGGAAATCTTGCAGGATACAGCGTCGTGTTTGCGAGTTGCTCCAATTTGCGAGACGTTTCTGCAGCTTTCAAAAATCGACTTTGCTTTAAGTTCATAAAGCAAATAAGCCTGAATTACATACAGACTTGTTTAATTGATCTCTTAAAAGGGCTCAAATTCACGAAAAAAAGAATACACACAGTCATATAGAAATTTACACATGTATATCTTCCAATTTAAATCTCTGAAATTAATTATTAAACTTTATTATAATAAAGTTAATTGAATTATAATTTTTTATAATTCTTTCGTTTTATATGTAAAGTGGCATAGCAGACATATATGTAAATGATTTTTTACAGCAGTACAATATTGTATACTTAATTACAATTAGATTTATATATCAAGATTTAAAAATTATCTTCATTCAAAATTATTTCTGCAGCAAATTTAAAAAGGCAACAAAACGCAGCAAAGAGAACAAATAGCATAGAATAATGCAATAAAATTGTATACAAACTCCACTTCTTAGGATACTTAATTTCACAATTTTATTTCTTTGAAAGAGTATCCTATAAAAATTTAAAAAAATAATACACGTTCTTACATATACGTTTAGACTTTCATGCGCAGAAGTAAAGAAATAGATTACTTAGAGAGAATATTCTTTCTGAATTCATACCTTTAAAATACATTTTAGATGATCTTCGTGTAATTAACATTATAGAATAATGCAAATATGCAATAACCATTTCCTTTTTCCTTATATATGTAGGGCCCCAAAATCGATATAACATTCTTGTTACATAAAATGACCTTATTAACAAAATTTCTCTTGCAAGTTTAACGCTCTATGTAGTACAAAGCACAAATAGTATTCTATTTTTACATTAAGTAATTAGGTTTTTGTTTCCCTGTGTTTTTCACAAATGACAAAATTATAAATTACTGTACATTTATGTTCAACTGTGCAACCAATTAACCATTTGTAACGTCAATGTTGGAGTTATAACATAATACAGTTTAAGATTATTATTATTCTGAGTAATGACTGATATACATATACTACATATATCGACAAATGTATTGTACAATGTATAATACAACAGTGGCACTGAGACAGATTGTTGGAATGATTTATCCCCCGGGCTTATTGAAATTAAACTGTATTATTATAGAAAACATTTCTAACATCTGTAATTTGTTGTCAAAGTTGAAACTAACTATATCCAGTATATTCCTTTTATAAGATTACGTGTAACAGACAATTAATTACAGAATAAATATTTGAACAATGCATTTATGATCAACACAAGTAAATTACTATGGATAAAAGAGAGTAATATAATATGATGCTGTTAAATGCATCGCAGTCTTTAATGGGGAAACTTCGAGTTTTTGTGTGCTATATAATACAAAGTTAAAGATCAATATTACTCAATATTATTCAAATATTTGAAATGTCTAACATATTAGTATATCTAATACATGTATGTATATATTAGATGTACTATGTATATACACTTATATATGTATATATTAGATATACTATTCAATACATGTTTTTATTTACAACATAAATAATTATATGATCATGATGGCCAATTATATGATAAAATCGTCTTTGTGCTTTGTGTCAGATTTTTGTTTTTCATTGTACTGTGTACTTAATTTTCTTTTTACTACAATTAAAAATTTTTCTAAAGAAAATCCATGGGATAAGTACAGACAGGATACACACATCCGAAGATCCATATCAAATTATCATACATCATTTCTGTAAAAATATTGCTGATAATTACACTAATTTACTTCATTGTGCGCTAATCACAGTTGTTTAGAACCTTCTGCCTTTTTCGTAATTGGTGGAACACCTGTCGGAGGATTTCATTTCACTTCATCAGATTTCGAATTACTTTTAAGAATGGAAGCTGATTTCTGCTTATTCTCTTCAACACACGGGATCTCCATATATTTTGCTAGAATCTCGGGGCAGCATCATCTATTAATTCCTCTTTTCCAAATCCTGGCTCACAAGGGGAGTACATGAACTTTGGGTCGCCGATTTTGCTGAACTTTTGCAGGAATGTAGTATTCGTATAGAGGTAACACATGCTATTCGAAGACGATGCACTTCTCAATCGTTGATGAAAAATCGCGGTGTGAAGTTTGGTGCGCTACGTTAATATTACTTCAGTAAGCCATCCGTCAAAGTTCCGCGTGGCGCAGCGAACTGGATATCGAACTAGACATCCGGAGGTTGCAGGTTTGTGCCTCGTTCCTGTTATAATTTTTGTTTCTGTTTTTCACACAGTACTTTTATCGTCACAAAGAAAAATATTTAAAATTCGAACTGCACGTAATATATTATTTTAATTCACATATCAGTAACTTTGTGCCTCGACTTACAAAATAACAATTTAAGGCATGATTCTCGCGCAAAACGATTTATACCTCGATTATAATAATGCGCAGAAAATCCTTTATGTAACCTTTTAATTTTTATGCTTCCCAATTAAAAACTGACAATAGTCTCGACATTTTTACATAAGGATTTTCGTCTTAGAATATTCTACAGAATCTGTCAGTAAAAGGACTATCGAGCTTTCTGGGACACCCTATATATTTGACAATGAGTCTAAATGCTGTCATAAAATTCCTCTAATGAATCTAAAAGTTTGATTGATCTTGTTATATTAACAATGAACATTTAAAAGGCACAATCAATGTTGACAGTACAAAAATATCAAAATTAAATAGACAGATATTTCTCTCATTTTTGTTCATAAAAAACTATTATACATACGCATTATGCGAAACTTTAATGATCATTCTGTAATACAATTCTCAAGTCTGGGATGTTTTGGAATCCTTTTCCAGCGATTTTTGTATTTGTTCCTCCACTTCTAATACTTCTTCTTTACCTATTAACTCTATTAATTCGTCCACTTGCTCTTTGCTTAACTTAACATCTTCCTTACCTATTAATTCTACAACCTGCAAAAATTATATAACACAAAGGGTAAATTAATAAATAGATGCAGTCTTGTAATTGCGCTTTTATATAATGTGTACATGTGTAAAATTTGTGGTCTGTCAACATACCTTTAAGACATCTTCTATTTTTATTGCACCATCTTGATCGTCATCAATTTTCCCTAAAATTTCTGCTATGCGTTTTAAGCGATGGTCATCGGGTACATTTTGGATTTGCTTAATAGCTGCGACAAGCTCGTCTATCTTAACTAATTCTTCAACATCTTTGTCATCCCGTTTGTCATTAGGACCCAATGAGTTCATTCTTTGTTTAACTTTTTTCTCAGATTGCTCAAGCTCCAACAAAACAGCATCCATTTTCGAAATCATTTTGTTTACCTTTTTAAATAGTCTATTAGCGCCTTTCGACACTTTAATATTTTCTATATCTATTTGACCTTTAGCCTCTGCCTTAATTTGATTTAATTCCTTAACGTCTTCTTGATATTCTGCCATTTCTTCTTTAAGTTCCTTGATTTCCTCTTTTTCCACAGCCATAGTTTTACTATCCTAAAAGGATTATATAAAATTGAAAATTTCGCATATATCAAAGACTGGTATGCGCGTTTTAAATATTATCTTGCCCGTGTTTTACTCACCTTGCCAATTGAATCCAGAGCTTGTTCTAAAACTTTGACATCTGTAGTAGTAATTTCATCTGTTTTGGTACTGCACTCCGGAACAGGCTGCGGTTCGGCTTCTTTCTTTTCCTTCCTCTCTTCTTCGATCTTGCGTTCTTCCATTTTTATAATTTCGATATTGGTTCTATGATCCACCTTACCCTCTTTCTCTCCAATGGCACCCTGAGTACGCGCCACAACCGCGTCGGGCAAGACCGCAATTGTCGCCTTCAGCTTGTCCGACATAGGTGTCGTTTCTGGTATCATAAGCGCTCGTGATAATAGTAGTAAAGAGGGTGGAACCTTTTTCATTAAACTTAAATCCAACCACTGCGACAATTGTTCTCTTAATCTGCTCTCTGGCAATCCATAAGCGCGCATGCCACGCGCTCTGCAAGCTTGTTGCAGTTCAGTCCTGGTCAGGGTGTCAACCCCTTCTTTCTCAATTAGCTATTCAAAATAAAGAAGAGCATTTTAACAGTCTAAAGAAAAGAATTTTATAAAGGCTGAGAATACACTCAATTGAATACACACTCTGTCATCCGCAGTAAGACTTCTGAGTCTCATCCTGAGTAGAAACCGTAAGAAATTGGTAGTGCCAAGTGTTTGCACATCTAATACACGGCATAAAGCAATTAGCTGTGGACGCGAGAGGGAATCCAGGGTAATTTCATCCTCGAAGACTTTGCTGAACTTCATGATTTCTTCGTTGCTCGCAACGGTGCCGGTTGTTCGTACTTTGTAGAAAAATTCTGCAAACTCTTTCGCTTTCTCAGACTTGTGATCCGACGATTGCAACGACATTTCATTCAATGTCTTTTGTAAAAATTTTGCCATTTCTATCTTGACCTGTTCCCAAAAGATATTTAATAATTAAAATAACATTGAAGAAACCCTTGGCGAAACATTTTACATGCCTTATGTAAAATTTCTAAACGTCACGTCAAACTGCGATATTTTTCATTAAATTCTATACGTGTCTCTTCACTTAATATCTCGATGAATTCAAATCTGATGTTCTACCTTCAAGGCCTGCTTAAGCTTATCCTCCTTCTCGGTTGCCGTTTGAAAAGTAGAAGGTAGCATGCCAGGGAACAACTTAATTGCCACTGGCAATAAGAATTCCATAAATGGAACAATGATGAAAACAGAGAATGGAATCAATCGGAACATATCCCCAGTGGTTTTTACTAGCTATCAGAATGAACAATTTATTAATAGTCTTAATCAACTTGTGACATGTACGCACAATTACCGCACTTGACGTACCAAACGGTGCTCCCTTCTGCTAAGTTCCTTCCCTTGTAAAATCCTCCATATTAACTTTGCCGACACCCTCATGTCGAGTCCTAATAATCGAAACCCATGATAATAATGCAGCACCTCCCCCTTAACTTTTTGCCACATTGTGACTTTAGCAACGGCCTTCTTTGCTTGCTCGCTGTCTTTTGTAACAGCCATTACCATCTTATCTTTAAGCTCTTTTTCCTCTTTAATGTTCTTGACTGTTTCTTCGATCTTAGACGACGGCTCCTGACCGCTCCAGCTTGGAGTTACATAAAAAGTACGAATTTGTAGACACGCCACGCTCTTATCATTAATATACATTGGTGGTACCGTAGGCTCCAGCAAAAATCTCCTCGGCTTTCTCAAATCTGTATAAATCAGAGCTATGCCGCCCATCGTGCGATCAGCGTTGTACCACAATTTAAACGGCGAGTACCCTGGAAAATTGGACGCAAAAATTCCGAATTATCCAACAATTGCAGAACACGCGGTAAAATCATTTTCCTTCGTCTCGGTGCAAATTAAAAGTTGCTTTAGCAAAAGCTCGTTTCGCCCGTTAATTAAAAAAAACCAAGAATTAAAATAGCTATGAAAAATATCTCGCCGACGATAAGCGAATAGTCGAGAGATAAAACGACCGAAGAGGCACTTCGCTCCTCCGTAAACCGTAGCCTTGTAGCATAAAAAAAGAACTTAAAGTAACTCGACATAACCTACGGATCATTCCGCGATTTTTGTAAAACGCAAACGCGACTATTGTCGTAACGGAACACCGGGCGAGGAAATCCGAGGAGGCGTTGCCACCCCGGGCGAGATGGATATTAATTTCGCGACGGTTACGATCTGCCGTTATGTAAATGTAATGGAGGCATTTATCTTCGCGCGGGACAAGTATCGCGGGTTATCGGCTGAAATCACGCTGGTCTATAACGGGACGTGAAGTAATGCGCGCGGTGACACGTACGTCGTGCGATGACTCCGCCGTGACCGGCGATCACTGTTTTCGTGTGAATTAACGCGTTCATGGCGTGCCACCCTCTCCGCGAGCAACCTGGGATACTTGAAGATTGTCGTGCCGTCTCGCTGCAGGTACCACGTGAACGAGCGACGAGTCACGTCCATTACACGTTACCACGCGCTTTGAATGGAACAGCGGCACCCGTGAAGTGGTCGGAGTCAAAGATCAGCTGGCGCCATTCTCGCGAACCAGCCGAGAGTCCCAGACGAGAAACTCCAACCTCCAGCGCCACTCGCGGACACGGACCGTTTGCGGCCGCGTCGAGCAAGCCGAGTGCACACCGAAGTCGACCAATCGGATAAGGTTTGAGTTCAAATTCGCTCGCGTCTGACCGGAAACAGAGAGAAAACCCATGGCTGGCACAAACATCGGCCCATTCTGATTACGGGCAGTTCGGTCTCCTTATATGTATACATTCTCCATGCACAAAAATAAATTGCAAATAAACGAATGACTCGCGAACCTTTTCAACTGCACTTCAAACGTCGCCATACGAAATACAAACGGTTGCAGGTATCAGCTATGCATAAATACGTTCATTTCCGGTCAAGCGCGAGCGAGTGCTCTATGGAGATCGGACTGAACCGCCTCATGGAAACCGGCCGTGCGGACGGGTCGGTAACGGTCACCCGGGAACATATGGCCCTGCGTGCGATGTGACGCCTCCTGACCGACGCCGTCATCGTTCTCGCTCACGTATGAAAACACGCTCTCCCGTTGACATTCCCGTCGATCGTCCACTCGGTGCGCGCGTCCACCCTACCGGCCGGAATATACGCGGCGGAGGCCCCCACGATTGGAAGACGCCGCACGTTATTGCGCCGTTCACTTAGCTTATGTACGTTATATGCGTCAGTGTCGAGATTAGTATACGGCGGATAACTGGTCGGAAGAGGTGAGCGATCGCTGGCGACAGGCGTTTGAAAAATCTGCGAGAATGAGCGACGACCAGACGAGCGAGCAGAGCCCGACTGCTGAGGTGAGTCTCTAGATTTGTCCAATCGGACGAGGATTGATTGAACCGGGGGACATAATTAATTCACGTGTCTGTATTATGTATTTTGTAAATAACGCGTTAGAGGACTGCGAGGATCCTCTCGATGAGTTGTCGGCGCATCATTGCAGATAGCGGCAATAATATTTTATCTCATCGTTGGAAAATTATTGTACGCTGTTTCATTTATTAATTGCGCTGGTTGTTGCGATGAGTATTCAAAGATTTCACATACTTGTAGCCTGCGATAAATCAAATGTCAGGGCTGCACGAGATGAATTAGTAAAACGAATTGGTAGAAGACCCGGGGAAGTTCGCGTAACTAGAAAATGTGTATTTTATAGAAATTTCATTTGCATGGAAACCGTTTGTTCGTGTACGCACAGACACCATGTTATGTGTGTGGACACAGATCTTGACTGAAGATTTGCTTATAGCTGTCGTCGAGCGACATTGAAAAGCTAGAAGAGGCAAAATTGAAAGCAAAGTTCCCGAATGTAGCTGGTCGACCATTTGGCGGTCATTCCGCGTTTCTGCAGAAAAGGCTAGCCAAGGGGGTAATGTTAACTTTTATCATACAGAACTTCTACAAAGACAACTGCGTGTTCTTTCCTTCTCTTTCGTTTCTCTCAGTTTCCTGAGTCGCTTAACAGCTTTGTTGTTTTTCAGCAAAAATATTTTGATTCCGGGGATTATCAAATGGCAAAACAAAAATCTACAGCTAAGCCAAAGCCAGCTGGTGTTCTGCCAACAGGCGACGCTATACCGACACCAGAAACAGTACCACAGCGAAAAACGTCTATTATCCAACAAAAATTTAATACATCGACAACGTCCTAAGATCTGCTGATTCCGTCACTTCTCAAAATACATTTTATTAATTTAGTCTTACGTTCAGATGCCGGAGTAATATATGGTGTGATTATGAATAATTGGTGGCTTATATGCTCGAGAACATTTTCAGGATCTTTCACGGGACATTTTACAGCATCATAAAGTTCGGTGTCCTTAGGAAACCTAATCAATTTTTTTAGCTGCGCATTCTTAATACAGCGGCTGCAATGTAAAATAAAGCAGTGTTCTATGCTACGTGCCACAGTGCTCTATATAAGTTTTATAAAATGTGGAAGTAATCTAAGTATCAGCTTGACTCTTCTCTCAAGTATCAACTTGATTCCTCTCAATAACCAGTCATTTAGATATCCTTATTTTCGAAATGGATTCCATTCTGATTTGCAGTAAGGAGTTAAACATAAAGAAAGTTGCACTGGTACTCGAGTTGCATCGTTAGCCAGCAATAAATATGCATTTTAGGTGCACATATGTAAAAATTTATATTGAGAATGTGAGATAAGTAAACGAATAATAATAATAAATATCTAATAACAGGAAAGTTTATCTTGGATATATAATTTGAGTATGATCCACTTGTGCATGATAAGATTAAGGGTAAGAAAATATACAGATCTGCATTTCCAAAGCTGCTGTGATGCGCTCTTAGTAAGACTATTTTCTTATGAAAAGCCGTATTTACTGTAAAAAAAATCTATAGTGCGAACATAATTTTAAACAGAACTACAGTTTCGCTTATTGTAAATTACATTTAGTAATATTATATATTGCAATTATAAAATCTTTTGTTTTTTTTTCATTTATTCTTACCTTCCTATCTTGTAATAATTACATCACTTCCCGTTACAATAGTTTAGTTGGTGTTGTATAACTAAAAACAGATTATAAAAAATTGCTTATTTTGGTCAATCTTAAATAATATTAAAATTTATGGTTTCAACACAGATTGGGAAAAACATATCTATTGTGCAAAAAAATTACTTGGGGGTAGAGATACAATTTCGTGTGTTTTTAAATACTGCAGAACTTTCGTCAACGTACAATACCAGCCAAAGTTACATCACCTTTCGATTTTTTAGCATAACTAGTTTTTAAAGTGCATGAATGAATAATTCGAAAATCATGATGGACTTTGTCTAATTTCATTACCCTACAAGATGCACCTGTTATCAGGTGTCCACTGTAAAATTTTGAGCACATTCGATACACTTTGACGAAAATTATGCTCGGAAAACTTAAGGTGATACAATTTTGGCCGGTACTGTATATGTAGATATAGAGGACCGTCCTCTGTTATAAGATAAGATTCTAATATGAGATAGCAGGTTTTCAGCGTCCAAATTCAGTCACAGATTTCCTTTCGCAACGACTACACGATCTGGCAATGAATTTTCCCCTAAACAGATTTCACTTCAAGGGTAATAAATTCGTGATGGAATCAACAGGTGACTGTTAACTTAGCAGAAACTCCGCCGTTTCATATTAGGAGCCTATCTTGTAACAGGGAACTTTCCTCTATTGAAATATATCAACGTATATATTGAAGTATATTTACAATAACGCAATAAAGTATGTATATTTTTATATTTATGTAGTATGTACAGTACTGAAGAAAATAAGATACACAGGTGATAAAAAAAAAGGTTGAAACTAAAGTTTACGACTGATACATTGTATGACCGCCTTTTACTTGCACGATCACTTGCAACCGTCGAAACACTCCTCAAGATTACGGACAAGTTGCTGGTCGAGGTTTTTCTTTTTTCAAGGCTTCAAACAACTGGAACCTGTTCGTAAAACACCTCGACAGTATAAAATTGCCTCCTCCGTGTCTGACCGTCTTTTAAATATTTTGGCCGACGAGGTGGATAGGGTATGGAAGTAACACGTTATACTTTTAACGCCCTTGCAAGTTACTTTTTTTTGTATCGAGTTACATTTTAAAAAGTAACTTTCCCTATTCCCTGATATTCCGAATGAAAATTTGAAACAATATCCTCGGAAGCAGCGTAGAAAAACCTCGACCAACAGCATATTCGGAATCTCATCGAGAGCGGCCATATAAGACCACGCAAGACGTAACTTTATTTTTAACATATTTCCTTTTTATCATCCGCGTACTTTATTTGATCCAAGATGAATATAATAACACACGTTACGGAATTGACTGTTTCAAGTTTCGAATGTTTTCAGTCGAAACTTAAAAGTGGCCTAAGAAACTCTTTTATCTGTTAGGACCGACGAGTTATTCACACAAATGTGGATACGTCGTGCATTATATTTTATTTTGTCTATAAGTACTGTATATATGTATATGTTCTACAATTCAATTCCATGATGCAGTATACATAAAATATTACACACATTATATCTTTTTCTTGCGTAGACGTGTGTCCACATCCAGATACACATTTATTTTCAATAACATTGTCATTTTTTAAAATCTATATTCCGTAACATTCGTAATATTTCCGTAACAAGAAAAAGATATAACGTATGTTATACAGTATTCAAATATAAGTACATAATTATTGAAATATATTTATAACCCCATACAGCACCAAAGCTTTCAGAAACATTTCAGAAACATTGCAATAATGTTTTCTGAAAGCTTTGGTGCTATATGGGACATAATAAGATGTAGAAATCTCTAACTTATTGTATGTATGATCATTAATTGCCCTAGTACAAAATATTCCCCCATTTATTTGCAAAAAGTATCTATATGTATATATGTATGTATATAAGAGATTCGTATATTATGGATCTATAAATTCAATGTAGCTTATTTTCTGAACTTTAACACCCAAATTAAAATGTACATATAAAAAATGTTAGATATTTTGCACGCCCAGGCATTGGTACGAAACTGGTATAAAGATTCTATAATATAATGTCCTCTATCTCGACGCACGTATGTAACACACATGGTTTCAGGCGTACATCTTTTCTATCAAGTCAGCATACATCTTCTGAACTACGTTCTTCTTGAGCTTTAATGTGGGCCCCAATTCGCCGGTGGGAATCGAAAAATCATGAGGAAGAATTTCGAATTTCTGTACTTTTTGAGCATTACTGATAGCTTGCGTATTTGCCCTCTTGATTGCCTTCTGTATCTCTTCGTATATCTAGAAAAGAGAATATTTTGTGATGTATATCATTTTATAGTATTTAGAGATCTGGAGCAAACAAAAGACAAACGGCGTCTTAGTATCGGTCTACAATAGTACTCTAAGTTCTAGGCCTTACGAAATTGACTAAGTCACAGTCGAGTATTCTCCTCACACTTGACTGTGATTGAACAATTTCTTAAGGTTCTTAAATCACCTATTACAGACTTACTCGGCGACACCGTTTGCACTCTTTGAGACAAACTGCACACTCGTGTTTGTTAGCGCTCGTTTGCTTTTAGTTCAGATCTGACTTAGGAAATGATTTCTTTTTTTATACAGTGCAAAATAATAACTATTTACACGATGCAAACTAATATTACTAATTATCTATATTATCTATGTCTTGTATCAGACTCACGATTGGATCACGAGAGTTTATGACTTCTGAAACTGTTTCGGCACTGCTACCAATGGACTTTGCCCATTTTAATACATAGGGATTCAGTTTATCTAACGGACTACCGGTCTCCTCATTTATATTACTCTGAAAACCAAAACGTATAATTTGAACATTTCGAAGTTTAAATTTGCATTTGTATTTCTGTCCACTTGCAATGTGTACCTTGAGCGTGACGAGGGCCGTTAAATATTTTCTTTTATCTCCGACCACCATGACGTTACTTAAATACGGTAATTCCGACAATATCGCCTGCTCTATATTGTACGGTGCCACATTTTCCCCTCCACTTGTGATTATAAGTTCTTTTATTCTACCTGCGGAATAAGTGAAACACGACAATATAAGACAAAGTCACATAATGTAAAATAAGGTGAGACACAATAGTGCAAAGTATGGCGAGTAAGTTAAGCAGATATTATGTGTTAGGTATAAGAGTATATCGTATTCGCTGACATAACGCGTATGTACGTTATTATTTTCATTAGAATTATGAGAATTGCTATATAAATGAGGGAGCGGATTAATAGGAATAAAACAATTTAACTGTTTACCAGTTATAGACAAATTCCCGTTTGAATCGAATTTGCCGATATCACCGCTGTGTAACCAGCCGTTTTTATCTTTGGCCTCTGCGGTCTTCTCTGGTTCATTTAAGTAACCCATAAATATATGTCGTCCACCCATACAGACCTCTCCCTCGCCATGTTCGTCTATGTTGTCTAATTTTGTGTACAGTCCAGGTAGGGGTCTTCCTACACCTACCATGCTAACAAACGAGAGTGACATTCGTTATTAGAAACAACATGTTTTAAAAAGAAACATTCGCCTTTACTGTAAGTTTAACACAAGGAAACGAAAGCAGATATAATTTACCTATATTCCTTAGGGTGAATTATTGTATGAGCTCCGCTACATTCAGACATCCCGTACGCGTCTACTACAGGGATGTCTAAGCTCAGGAAGTATTGTTTAATGTCGATATTTAGGGGCGCTGCTGCGGAAGCGAACATATGGCATCTGCTTAAACCCAATGCCGCCTTAACTTTGTCGAAAACGAGTAATTTCGCAAAGATGTAGCCCCAATGCTTATAATCGGCTCCGTTTATTTTGTTCATGTAATAGTGAAGACCCTGCCCCTTTGCCCACTTAGCAATCCAAGTTTTTATTGTGCCGTTACTGCGCGCTGTCTCCTGCATCTTCTCGTATATCTTTTCCCATACTCTGGGCACCCCTAGGAAAATAGTCGGTTCCGCCACACGTAACGTATTTACCAATGTGCCCTTCAACGCACCCGGATCCGCAAAGTATACCGTGGTCGCTAGTACAATGTTTGCCATGACGTCAACTATCTAGAAACAATAGAAACGTTATTATAAATTCATAGTTCTTAATTATTATGGTATATAAATTCAAATGTAATTTATACGTGAAAATTTGCATTAATACTGTCACTGAAATATTTTTATTTAACCCTTTGAAGCACGGTGTAACGGTTTAACATTATAAAACACCTCCTGAAATGAAAAAAATCAACACTTCCTTCACTCCGATATCTTTACTACATCTTATCTATAAGGTCTTGACCTCGTATGTGTAATCTTGGATCGTATGTCAAATACTTGGTTTGCTCATTCTGAATCAAAAGTCGAAGTTCTAAAATTATTGACGATTGACTCAATAGCAGCACGAAGTAAGTTTTAATTGAAAAATCTTGTTTTCTATAAGATATCTTCTAGTAAAAAAAGTTATTCCTATAAACCGCGTTCCGAAAATAGGTATCTGGAAATTTTTCAGATCACTGATTTCTAATCTAAAGTCAAAATTTGAAAATCCAATATAAAGAGTCAACATTGCAAAAAAATGCAATTAATTTATCTGGAACTTGTTACGCGGAAGTTTTTCAGGTGATTGCTGATTACACATACGAGTGCGGATTCACTAAATTCTTAATGACGGATCCAACATGGCGCCTAAAATTCTGCAACCCTTCAGTATGAAGTTTCCGAAAAACCGATTGAAAGGAAAAATGTATGCTTCAAAGGGTTAAGATTTGTGAAATGTATTATTCGGAAAATCTCACCTGTGCTGCAACGTGAGATAATGGCAAATAACTAACCGTAACCTCTGACTTTTCTTTCACTTGTAGTACTGATGTTAATAACTTTGTGTTATGCAACATATTATCGTGGCTTAACATTACGGCTTTCGGATTTCCGACTGTTCCCGACTGTAGACAAAGATAATTGAAAATGTAAAAAATAGTTTAACATTAATCCCGATTTAATGAACTGTGGTAAATTCAATATACCGTGTACACTAAGACGCAACATTCGTTTGTTCCAATCGTTTTTAACACCGATAATAATTTATCCTCAGATTCATTCCTACCTATGTTCAATAAATCCTTCCACTGAAAACAATAAATAATGATGAGGCGTATATATTAAATAATAAATGAAGAATGGAAACAATAGATAAGTATAGCAGTTAATTTACGCTCAAAACATCCTTTTCGTTAGGTGTGCCGTCATATTGAACAATTGCTTTCAAGTGGGTCAGGTTGTGTTTTATTTGCAAGATTTTCTGCAACTGTTTGTCATCTTCAACGACTATTATATTTGCCCGACTGTGTTCAGCGGCATATTGACACGCCTCTGGAGAATTTGTGGTGTAGATTCCTGTAGCGAAACCACTAAAAAAAAAGAATGATCTATTTATCTAAAAATCGGAAAAGTAAAGGTGTACGTTGTTAAAAAATATTATATCGCTTGTTATTATCGTATCGCCACATAAACAGTATGTAAATGACATGTGGAAATAATAACGCGATACTCGTTTACTATCTAAAAATCAATCAGTGGATTATCACTGAAAACAATAAATATTCACTGATCTACAGTTGCAAGTATAGCACTGAATTATTCAGTGCTACACCTATTTTCGTTTTCAGTGATAATACACTGATTGACTTTTATTAGAGAGTAGACGTAAAACGACTAGGATCTATTACCCAGCGTATATAGCCGCGAGGTCGCTAATGAACCATTCCGGACTATTAAATCCCATTATGCAGACGCTGTGATACCGCTCCAAACCTAGTTTCAGAAACGCTTTTGCGACGATTCTTACAGTAGACTCGTATTCTCTGTAACAGAAATTAATACAAAGCTATACAAGGTTCAGCATGTCGATTTAGCATGATAAATATAGTTGCCGGACTCATTGAATTAATCTGCAAAGTGGACCGAGAAAAATAGAGAAGAAAGACCTTGTACAAAAGCGATCTTCGTACTCCGCTTTCGCGTCAGTAAGGGAGTACACGAAGATCTTATCAGTCTATATTACTTGTTATGATAATAAAGGGAATAACAAAAATATCGTTTTAATTTTCACATTTACTTATACATACTGGAAGGTATACGTGGTTCTATTGCCGTTGGCATCGGGTTTAGACACCATCGCGATGTGATCAGGATAGAGCTTTGCTGTTTTGGTGAAAACTCCAGGGATTGACGTGGGCATGTGTGAATTCGGTCCGGTGATGTCTAACTTTATTCGAACTCTGCCGTCGGGGCTACACGAGATATCCTCGTCCGTAGGTAGTACCTGATCCGGTCCTAAAAATATTCCAATAGTTTATACGAACTATTTTATATTAGTTATAAATTAATATATACGGTAAAAACAGGTGCACGTTTTGTACAAGGCGAAATTGATAAATATCTGTTTACGTAAGCGAGGCATGGACAAGTGCCACTATTCGTAATCAATAGTAATTATGACAGGAGAGATGCATTTAAAAGAGTAAAAAAAAATGTTAAGCCTTTATCAAGATAGAATTACCATCGAGACCAGTTTCACTAGCCAATGCATATCTGGTCGATTGATTCATCTCCTGCAACAAGTTTCGTATTGGTTTATGTACTCTTGTGGTGTTGAAATACTGAAAAACACTAATTTTAAAGAAATTTAAACTGTGATGCTGTTCACTTCGTGTGTCAACGATAATCAACCACCTAATAAGTAATATACTTATCTCGATAATCGTTAAAAAATTTAACCTGCATTGAATTGTTAAATAATTACTTATATATATGTGAATAACACACAAATAATATGAAACGCTGTTCCGATCGGCCTGGATCTTATTGTTAGTGCTTAATTATATTTTTGTGCTACTTACTTTCTTTAGCAAAGCAAACTATGTTATGTACTGATAATTTTCGAGTTTGAAACACAATTAAAAGCAGATGTCGAAATGGTGTACACAATTAAATTGACAATCGATTGAATAATATTCTTAAAATAAATATTGCAAACACAATATAAAAAACTTGGGCTAGAGAAATATTACGGATGTCTTAACAATTCGACCACTGTGAAGCAAGTGATAATATTTATCGCAATACTTTGGCGGAAAAAATGTAAAAACATAATTGGCTACTAATAACCAGCTCGACTGTAAACGGCGTTTTTATGTATATTAACCAAAGGTATAGTACATTTTTTAAACATTGGCCTATGTTAACCAAATGTATAGAACAAGCATTGGTTAAACATTGGCCCAATATTTGATTGTATTGGACCATTGTTTAGCCAATGCACTGTGCTACTAGAGTACCCAGCGAGAAATGATTCGTCGATCGATGTCGATTCTTCGATGTCGAAACAATGTCGAATCGACATCGATCGACGAGATACCCTAGTAGCACGGTGCATTGGTCTAAACATTGGTCCAATACAACCAAATATCGGGCCAATGTTTAACCAATGTTTGGTCAATGCACTGTGCTACTAGGGAATTTAAATTGTTGCAACTTTGTGTTGAAATTTGTGCAATTCCATACGTATATAATATGTGCAATTTTCAACGTCGCTGCAATGTGACGGATCAAGCTGACCACGTTTTCACATTTTTACTAATGCACATAAAAATCTCACGCTAGCGTCTGTTACGAGAAACTTACATAATTTTTTAAAGCAAATAATAACACATTATTATTGCGTGCGTGCTTGTAATAATACAGAGTTGCCGAGTCTAATTATACAAATACGAAAATCTACAATATAAAATTCCACGCTGGAAACATTCTGTGCTATATGTTATAACTTATGACAAAACTATGTGATAAACTAATGTGACAAAAACGATATTTAATCAGAAAAATGACAATTGTACTTACTTCTCTAACAAAGTTATCGTTTACGCAGTATCGGCGCCTGGTGAAATTAATGAACGCATAAAATGTGATAGATGGACTCTTAATTGAACCGAATAATAGGGATATAACTGTCACAATAAGTCCGATAATTCTATTACAGTTTATTTTGTTTGGTTGCTCAAAGGAAAATTGAATGGGGCGATTTAATTATGCGCGTTTTTTGTTTACATATCGTACCTTATCATCTCGCGTAAGTCCATTTAAGACTCCATGTGACTGTGTGGCCTGAGATACGGACATTCTATCTGAAACAGAAACAATAGCGATAAAAGTAGTGACAGTTTTTACTAAATTCATACGAGAAACGAAATTTTATTTAACATCTTATAATAATTTTTGTCGGCAAGTCGGCTATACATAATTCATTTATGCTTTTCTTTAACTTACAAATTTGTCATGGCCACGCAGTCAAAAGACATTAGATATAGTAATGAATAATATTATACATAAAGTCGAAAAATAGACGCGACGATGTCAACTGTACATACACTGTTATTGCGACAAATATTACCACAGTGGTCGAATTGGTGAGACGCCCGCCTAGAGATCGAGGGAGGTCCAGGTTCAAACTAGGGCTCGGCTTTTATTCCGTTTTTCGAATAAACGTTTAAACGCGAAACGTTTATCCGTTTACACGTTCTTCCAGAAAAACGTTTATTTGTAGAAAAACGTTTACACGTTTAAACGTTTACTAAACGTTTAGTAAACGTTTAATAAACGTTTACTAAACGTTTACTAAACGTTTACTAAACGTTTGACAAACATTGAGGAAATTTCACTGCGAATCGAAATGTTTTATTTAACAGACTTAAAATGCTTAAACCCTTGTAGTCACTTTTTAAATATTTATTTTTAAATATTTATTGAGAATTCGTTGACCCGCCTACGTAATGGAAAATTCCGTACTTAATATTTTACATTACTTTGTTCCGCGGCTGTTGCTACGTTTTGTGTATCATTCTGCGGACTTATTGGTATTGATGAAATTATACATTAAATATATTATATACGTATATATTTACATATATACATATATACATATTTATACGTATGAATATACAGGGTGGGTTAATAACAATTGACACCTTAAATATCTTTGAATCTATAAAGTTCAGAGGAATATTTTGTGTAACTAAACACGAGAATATAGAAAATAAAATTTTTTAAATTATTTTAAAAATTTATATTTCTCTTTATATAATTATTTGTTGTATATACATATATACAGGGTGAGTTTTTATCTTGAGACAAGGAAAAATCTCGAGAACTGCACATCAAATCAAAAAAAGTTTCAGACAAAAGTTGTATGGTTTCGAGGGGGCCATAAGACGGTACCATTGGTTTGACCTTGAAGAATTATTTGAAGGTCACATAAATGTCACACCAATTTTTTTTAATGGCATCCCCTATTTTTTATTACATTTCTTGTAGCTAACCTCGAGAGCTTTCCAAAACGCTATAATAAAGTATTTTTTATTAAGAACTTTTTGAGTTATTATTATTCATTTTTTTTATCATCTTAATACTTTTTTGAACAGAATAATGATACAAATCAACTGGTGTAAAGAAAACAAATAATTCTGTAACAAGCAATAAAAAAATTTTTTTTTCTTTAAAAGTTTGTTTTCTTTACACCAGTTGATTTGTATCATTATTCTGTTCAAAAAAGTATTAAGGTAAGATGATAAAAAAATGAATATTTTACAAGATATTTTGTAATTTACGTCAAAATATTGGAACTTTCAAACCTTAATAACTCAAAAAGTTCTTAATAAAAAATACTTTATTATAGCGTTTTGGAAAGCTCTCGAGGTTAGCTACAAGAATGTGTAATAAAAAATAGGGGATGCCATTTAAAAAAATTGGTGTGACCTTTATGTGATCTTCAAATAATTCTTCAAGGTCAAACCAATGGTACCGTCTTATGGCCCCCTCGAAACCATACAACTTTTGTCTGAAACTTTTTTTGATTTGATGTGCAGTTCTCGAGATTTTTCGTTGTCTCAAGATAAAAAACTCACCCTGTATACAGGAGAAAAAGTAAAGACCGTAAAAGCGCGCGCGTCAGCGCGCGCTGTGTATGCTAGTAAAACACTTAAAAAAGGGATAAACATTTATAGAAAAACGTGAAAATATTGAAAAACACGTTTTTAGTAAACGGATGTGCTAAATATACGTGTAAACGTTTAAACGTTTAAACGTTTATTAAGTAAAAACACGTGTATTCGAAAAAACGTTTCTTATAAACGGATAGCTAATTATACGTATAAACGTGTATCCGTTTAAACGTATAATAGCGAGCCCTAGTTCAAACCCAGGCTGAGGTAATATTTTTCGCATTAAATTTTCTGCACTAACCGATTAATTAACAGATATGGCTAGCTGTGGTCGAATGAAATTTAGAATTTTATTATTATATACAAGTTTCTGCGGAAAATATGAACAGAAGATATAAATAAAATTATATCCTCTAGTAAAAGAATAAGGTTGGTATACGGATAGTAATTTTCGAAGTTAAAACTCCATGGAATCAACATTAAGATGACCTCTTCGCGGCGTTAATACACCCTGGCGAAAATTTTAAGTGAGAGATTACGTTTACATTTACTTATGAAGACTTTTATCGATAGCTACATTGTTTAAAAAGAGTTTTATTGATGGTTACACCGTTTGGAAGTACGTTGCAAACACCTTAAATAAACATATTATTTTCGCCAGGACAATACCTTCCACACTGAATAGCCTTTTTACAGAGGCACTACTTGGGAAGGCAGTACTATATTTAATAAAAAGTGTCTTAATTTTTTAATAATCATACAACACATCTATATTAGAATTGTTACATCTATACTAAATAAAAAATAAATAAATAAACACCTATACTAAATAAAAATAAATAAAAAATATCAAGTGGTTTTGGATATAAATCGCCTTTTTAAAACGTCAATTTGTTATTTCTCTATTAATTCGCAAATATACAATGTTTTCCTTCACTTTGATGATATAAGCAAAGTTTTTAAACCTAGAAATTATCGACATGAATAGTGGCGATCGTACGATAGCTCTATTTTTTTTCATACGAACGTTCAAAGTACACCCGCAAGATATTAGCATTTGTGGAAGACGTGCGTGTTACGTAAATGTGCAAATTGCGCTTAATCGGTGGGTTGGCTGTAAGGATCAGTGTCACGAAAGGCATCGCAATTTTATCATGCGATGTGTATCCCGCATCGCATCCCGCTCCTTTAAGAAATTAATGTTTTTCTTAGAAGAGCAAAAAAAATTGCACAAAAAGAACTTGTGCAATGCAAAAAACAGTTATAAAAATATGCCTTTAAGTCGTATAGCGCGTAAAATCATTCGGTGCATTATCAATGAATTATTCAGTGCTATATTTATGACTGTATATGAAAATAATAAAACTATTTCCAGTGATAGTCCACTGACTTTTAGAGAGTGTTTGTAACGTTAACTATGTATCTTGCGATTCAATATTTTTCGATTTACATATACAATTTATTCCATAATTCGATAAGTAGAAATTCGATATTTTAAATCGTCCGTTTACATATGTCATCGCACGGAGGATTGTTACATTATCATACTTCGTATTAGAAAAGAAAAGTTTATTCTTATAATTCACAAAAATATTATAATTCACGTATATGAAGATGACGATTATTCGAATAGGTTGAGAAACAATAGTACGTTGTCGCTTATGTGTATAAAGCTACAATTAAAAATAAGAAAAAAGATCACATAAAGAAGGTGTTAAGGTAGTAGTTATTGATTGTTATCGGCAACAGTTTCTTTCATCTTCTAATTATTTCTTTATATACTATGGTTACAGTTAACCAATGTACACAGTTGAAAAATTTGCATTAAATTTAACAGATAAATTTTGTGTAAAGTTAACATATATTTAATGACAAAATGAATTTAAAAAAATATAATTTTTACATTTCACAGATGTAACAAGTCAAATGACGGTTCGAAATCACTCTCACTTATGTTATATAGAATAAAATCACCGTTTTATTCTGTAAATTTTAACAGATAAGTCTTGTTACTAATAATATAGAACATATATGTATTGCGTAAGATTAAAAACTAAGTACACACTGTGTTGTTTTAACATTTCTTTTCAGCTATTTTAATAATTTTACATTTGAGGTCAATTAACACAAGAGCAATATGTCAAGTTGACACATGGATGTGTTAAACATTTAACACGAAAATTTTAACCGGCATTTTTTAAACAAAAAACACAAATTTTCCAACTGTGTACGTACATTGCAAATATTATCATCGCGTACAATGTTAATTGTGTCAGAACATTAAATAATTTTATTTATGCAATTTTCAGAAACTTTCAGCGTTTATTCATTAATTATTAATGTCCCGTTAAAACATTAATAGTATTATTGATATGTAATAATTGAGTAATTATTCAACGCCGGTTTCTTATTCATCTCATGACATTTGAAAAATGGATGTTGTATCATTATATAACAGTGCATAAGTATAGCGCGGTACATTCAATTACGCTTGACGTATACTTTGTAACTTGCATCCACAATAACTGCAACGATAAACAGTTCAAATGGTATAGTTCAGAGAAGAGTGATATCATCAACACAAGTACAGTGTCTAAAATTGATTTAAATTTATGTTATTATTAGCAATGTCATTTAAATACGTATTTGTAACATTTAAATTAAAAATTATTAAAACGTAGTTATTTATTAAAATTCGACGTCTTTTAATTTGTTAAAAAATCATGAACATTTTTAACAAAAGTCTCATATGAAAAATGATGTGTGTTAAGTTATAAAATTGTCTGTTGTTCAGTTATGTGAGCAGATTTGGTTGTATTTCTGCTGACAGTATTATCGAAAATATTAGTTCCTGTATGCACACAATCTGCAGTCTTTCTGTCTTCACAATTTGTAGTGGGCATTTGACGGAATCTGTCCTGACAGATTTGGCTATCTGGAGTCGCGAACGGATTGTGAGTGACCTAGTTTACATCGTGCACTTGATACGCGTATCAAATAGTAACAAATAGTAAATAACATAGTAAATTCGTTTGGTCATTGGCTGATCAGTTTAAATACACTATTTGATACGCGTATCAAGTGCACGATGTAAACTAGGCCAGTGTCTGTTTTAAATTTTGTCGCTAAAGCATTAGCGGAAATAAAATATAATGGCAGGTTGACTGCAGAAATTGAGCAAAATCTGC